TTGCTGTGTCTCTGGACCAGGGCTGTTGGTGCCCTAAGGTGGCGCCCAGAGGCACACTGTGGGCTGAGAGCCAGGTCAACAAGTGGGCGGAGAGCCAAGAAGGGACAGTCCAAGTGCCTCGGCCACCATGTGGCATGGAGATTTAATCCTGGAACCCACATACCTGGGCCTTGCTTATGGAAGCTCTTGTTCACCGGGATTCCCTCTGGAGTACGTGGGGAGACCGCACCTGCTCCATCTGGAGTACCCCAGTGAATTGGTTGCCAGCACCATTTGTTAGAGGATTTCCTTGCTCCATTTCACATTTCTTGCTCCCTTACCAAAGATTAGATGATCATATATCTGTGGGTGTGTGTAAGGACATTCAACCCTATTCCACTGGTCTGTGGATCTGTCTTTGTTCCAATACCATGCTGTTTTAATTATTATCGCTTTGTAGTACAGTTTGAGATTGGGAGTAAATTTACTTATTATTGTGTATAACAGTTAAATATCTGATTTTGAACATATTAATAATTATGACAGTTTAGGTTTATTGTAGGACAATTTGGAAAATATGTAACCATACAAAATTTATCTATTATTATATTCTCTAGATCTAAGGATCCTTAGAACTTTGACAGTGTCGTTCAAATACTTTTTTATCTGTTGTCTGTGTGATCTGGATCAGGTTACTTTCAGGCAATTACACCTTCTTACTCAAAACTACCTTGTAGAGTAAAGCACTGTCAGAACAATGTCTGGTACATAGCAAGTTTATTAACTATTAGCAATGATTGGGCTGGAAAGATAGTACCGTAGGTGAGGCTCTTGCCTCGCATGCAGCCAAGCCGGGTTTGATTCCTGGCACCCCATATGGTTCTCTGAGCCCTGCCTGAAGTGACTGCAGACCTGAAGTAAACTCTGTGCACTGCCAGTGACCCCAAAACAAAACAAAAATAAAACCCAACAAACGTTTTAGTAGTTATTATAGGATGAAATATTCTAAATCTTAATTTAAAACCAAATTAAAATTCATTTTTAAGGTTTTAAAAAGCTTTCATATTCACCTTTTTAAAAACTCCTCAATACTATGACTTTCCCATTGCATTCAGTGTTTGTCTTTTTCTTTTCTTTCTTTCTTTCTTTCTTTCTTTCTCTTTCTTTCTTTCTTTCTTTCTTTTTCTTTCTTCTTCCTTCTTCCTTCTCTCTCTCTCTCTCTCCCTCCCCCCTTTTTATTTTTGTTTTTCGATCACACTCAGTGGTGCTCAGAGATTATTCCTGGCATGGCTTGGTTTACTAGGGTTGGCAGCGTTCAAGGCAGATGCCGCACCCACTATACTATCGCTCTGGCCCCTTTCTTTTATTTTCACTGTTTTGTATTTTGGTCACATCTGACATGTTCAGGGACTACTCCTGGCACTGAGCTCATGTGCTCAGGAGAACTTGCAATGTGAGCTCCAGCCCTTTGGGTTATTTCTATGAGCTCTCAATGTTTGTCTAATGAGAATATTTTTCAAGGCTTCACTGATAAAATTATTCCTCCAGATAGCAGTAGAATCCTTTGAAGAATTTGGAGATTTTTATGGAAGAGATCATTTGTCAGAATCCAACTGACACTTATGATTATCTTCTATGATGTTTATTATAAATACAAGAGATGGCCAGACAGCTAGTACAGCAGTAGGCTGCTTGCCTGAAAAACCTGGGTTTGATTGCTCATACACCATCTGGTCCCCTGAGCCTTGTCAGGTGTGATCCCTGAGTGTGAGCTAGAAATAAGTCCCGAGCACCGCCAGGTGTGGCCCCCAAATCAAAATAAATAGTCTATAGGAATGCAACCAATAAAGTAGGAGAATCATTACCTAACCTGCCAAACTGTAAAGGTGTAGAGATCTTACTATCTCCAAGCTTGCAAATAACCATTAAATGTGTGACACCCAGATACAATCAAATAAACAAGAAAGAAACAATCCAGGGTCTGAGAAAAAAAAAAAAACTCAAGTGTTGGAGTATTTGCCTCACACGTGCAAGTTCTTGATTTCATGTTGCAGCATGAGGTGGGAATATAACCCCCGCACCAGGAAAGCTCTGGCAACCCCTGAGCACACCTGGGTCTGAGTACCCAACATTTAGGGCTTCCCATTTAGGCCACAGCACCACTGGGCACAACTGGGTATGGCCCCTACTTCAAAAATGAGAAGAGGGGCTGTAGAGATTGGGTAGCATGTAGGTTCCTTTCCTTGCACTCAACCAACCTGGATTTGATCCTGGCACCATATACCAAGCCTGTCAAGAGTGATCCCTGAGCACAGTTAGGAATAAATGGCCCAAAAACCTACCCCTCCCTTTAAAAAAAAAAGGACTACATATACTGGGAGAATATATTTATTTATTTCTGGGGAGGGTACATCCTGCTGGTTGGCCACATGCAAGGTAAGAACCTTATGGGCTGTATTATCTCTCCAGCTCCTGGGAGGTATATTTTAAATATATTTCACGAAGAACTTCTAACCAGAATAGACAGAACTCCTACAAAATGATATAAAAAGGACAAGCTCACTTAATAAGATAGAACCTAATTTTAAAAACACAGGAAAAAGACTTGGATAGATATTCACATAATACAAGATAAAAAAAATCAATAAAGCATGAAAAGATGCTCAGTCATGGGGTAATTATGAAATTCAAAGGAGATAGTATTTCACACCCACTCATAGGGTTAAAATTAGACTGACAACTCCAAATGTGGGCAAGCCTGTGGGACAGCTGGAAATCTTGTGCATGACTAATGTAAGACGGTGCAGCCCTTTGGAAAACTGCTTGGTAATTTCTTATAAAGTATATCAACCTAGAAATCCCATACCTATATTTCTTCCAAGTGAAATAAAACAACGCCTCAAAAAGTTATCCAAGAACATTTATGGCAACTTTATTTATACAAGTGAAAAACTAGAACCCAAAAGCCCATCAACGGGTGAACAGATAAATACTTTTCAGCAATAAAATCAACTCCTAATTCTAGGGTGAATCTCAAAAACCTTACTCTAAGAAAGAAGGCAGACAGAAAGAGTACCAACCATTTTCTTTATATGGTAATGAATGTGGGGCGGGGGTGGGGGAGGGGGTTGGTTGCCTAAAGGGTGGCAGACAGGCTGGGAACTCTTTTTAAGATACTTTTTTAAAAATTAAATCACTGTGAGACCCTTACAAAGCTGTTCACGATTGGATTTCAGTCACAGAGTGTTCCAACACCCACCCCTACACCAGTGTACATTTCCCAGCACCAGTGTCCCCAATTTCCCTCCCGTCACCCCCACCCCACCCCCAGCCTGCCTCTCTGGCAGGCAGCGGAACTCTTGATCGTTAACATTCTAATCAGCTGTGGCCAAACTCAACCATTTGCACACTTTCCCGCATCCCCTTCCTTTCCCTTTGTTGGGTTGTGATGACCATCGCAGGAGTGGGTGCAGTGCTCATACACTGGACTTTGGTACTCGCAGAGGGTAGTCGCTCATTCATTTGTGCTACTCCTGACATTCTGGTTGGGGAGCTCCCAGGGTCGCTGTGATGCCCACACTGGCCTGACCGCAGGGCACCCAGACCATGGGGGCAGGAGAGAGAACTCAAGCTCAGGTTTTGCAAGCCTGGTCATTCTCTGGGTATCCTTCCAATTACACACTTAAGAAACTAGGATTTTCAAGGGCACAAACTGTAGCACTGTAGCACTGTCCACCAGTAACGTCTCCTTTCGACCCTATCCGCTAGCTCCAGACTCGTTACTATTTTTGGCATATCAAATACGCCACGGGGAGCTTGCCGGCACTCAGAGAGAATAATCAAACCTCGTCGCTCGCGTGCAAGGCGCTCTACCCGCTGTGCTATTGCTCCCGGAACAAAAATCAAACTCTGGGGTGAGGGTTGGGAGGGGAAGGGGGCGTGCTAAATGTGGTAAGGTAAAGGTAAAGGTGTTATCCCGTTGATCGTCGATTTGCTCGAGCGGGCCCAGTAACGTCTCCATTGGAGACTTTGTTGTTACTATGTCTGGCATATCTAATAGGTAGGTAGCTTGCCGGGCTCTCCCCGACAGGGGCGGAGGAATCGAACTCCCGTCGGCTATGTTGGCCGCTTGTAAGGCGAACGCCCTACCCGCTGTGCTGTGCTATGCTCCAGCCAAATTTAGCTCCAGCTAAATGTGGTATCACGTGTTTTGAAGAAGTTTTAACTTGTAGCTCTAAAGCATATATACACAGTCTTGTAAGCCAAGATCATAAAAAAAATTAAATAACCCCATTATAATTTCACTGTATTTAAATTTTACTTCAATTTCTTAAAATGGAGTACCAAAAAAAAAAAAAAGCTTTGAGAGACGTTTTAAGGCCGTAGGCCGTAGTAAGAGACAATTAGGAGAAATCTGATATGAGCTTTTTCTTTTAGGTCACACCCAGGGATGCCCAAAGTTTATTGCTGTCTCTGCAGTCAGGGATCACTCCTGGTGGTGTTAGGGAGACCGTGTGAGGTGCTGGGGAAATTAAACCTGGTGGCCCAGTGCAAGGAAAGTGCCCTACCCACTGTACTATCTCTCTGGCCCCTTTAAAGTCTTCAGAAACATCCTAGTGTGCTGCTATATTAGATGACAAACCAAGGGCTAAAGCCCAGCACACTATCCCTTTTCCCCCTCTCGCTGAAGGGGCTCTTTGGACCTCCGGTCAAGGTCTGCGAGTCCTAGTAAGTTCAACCCGCCGGGGAAAAAAAAACTCGCGGGCCACCCCACTCTCTCCCCGCCGCCGGCTTCCGGGCTCCTAATCAACCCGAGGCTCGGACTTTTCTGTGGATTCCGCCTTATTCCTCTGACCGGTCTGTTCACCTTTCAATCAATTCAAATATCGCAGGAGCGAACCAATCGCAATTCTCGCCCGAGGGAAGGGGCGGGCACTTTCCCCGGAAGCACTAGTTAAACCCGTCCAATCAGAGAGTCGGTGCGGGAGGTTTGAATTTTGCAGAGGTTCGGGCTTCGGATGGTCGCGTTTCGGAGGCGGCAGTGGCCTTCCTGTGGGAGAGTTCCTGCACGTTTTTGTTTGGCCGAGGTTTCACGCCACCAGCTGCTTCAGGTAGGCGGTGTTGGGACTTGGCGGAGCGGGCGCTGACCTGCTTCCTTCGAGACTTTAGCGAGGAGGCTGCGGCTCAGCGGCGGGGAGCGGGGGCGCCTCTCTCGGGCGGCTTTCCCTGCCCCTCCCCAGGCCCTGGGAAGAGCAGATATTTGTCGCCTTGAGCTCTGGAGTCTGCGTTTTACCCTCGGGGCTGAAATGACCGGAGGTGGTGAGGAGGGAGAGCTGTAGGACCCTTACCCCTCCCCGCGGCAGCCGCGCGTCAATTCCAGTAGCCCCTCCCAGGTGCTGTGAAAACAACAACGCCCAGTTGCTGCGAGAACTTCTAGGCAAGCCAGGCTAAGGCGGTTCAGACTTTCAGATGGAAAGAGAAGCCTCGAGAATTTAGTGGTGTGTGAAAAGCCACCACTTGTGATCCAAGCTTCATCACCTTTTAGCAATATGAAGAGTTATTTAGTTAATTGACAACAACTCGTAAGGGTTGCCATAATTGAATTTGCCTTTAATGTTCTTTCTCCGCTGGGTATAGTGCTTTTCTATTTTTTTTTTAAATAAATAGGCTGGAGCAATAGCACAGCAGTAGAGCATTTGCCTTACAAGAGGACGGCCGGGCCAACCCGGGTTCGATTCCTCCCTCCCTCTCGGAGAGGCAGGTACGCTAGCAAGAGTATCTCGCCCACAGGGCAAAGCCTGGCAAGCTACCCCTGACATATTCCATATGCCAAACACAATAACAACAAGTCTCACAATAGAGACATTTCAGGGCCAGCTCGAGGAAATCGATGAACGAGGGGAGGACAGTGTGCTACAGTGCTTTAAATAGCCAATGTATACATTTTTCCCTTTTCGTTTAATTTGAGATTTTTTTTTTTAATCGAGGAAACTTTGGTATGGAAAACCGCATAAGTTACAGCAAACCCTATTTATGCTTTGACGTGTAGAGAAGAGACTGCGACTCAGGTTCCCAGGGCCCCTAGAAGAGCACGTATTTGTTACCTGGAGCTCTACCAGTCTGCCACCAAGAGTCTAGTTTTCATCCTTCAACACTCTGACCATTACCCAGTCCCGCCCCCCTTCTCCCCCACCACCATCCTCCTTCATGTCTGATTACCACCATCCTCTTTTCCTGTCTGATCACCATCATTTTGGCTGAGACTTTTTGTTTGCTTTGTTTATTAATCTTTCACATATAAATGAGATCATAGTGGTTTTTGTTTTCTTGGGGTAACTTTTGTTATTTAGCATATTTCCTTCAAGGTCTATCCATATTGTTGCAAATGGTAAGATTTAATCTTGTAAAACATATTTCACTGTATCACTGTCATCCCATTCATCAATTTACTTGAGCAGGGGAATGAGCTCCATTCGTCCCAGCCCTTAGATTTTAGCAGCCTATCCTTACTCGTCTTTCCCAACGCTGGCTGCGTATTGGAGCTCTTTTAGGGTCAGGGGAATGAGACCCCTATTGTTTTGGCATATCGAATGTGCCACAGGTAGCTTGCCAGGCTCTTAGATTTCCATATCTTGGCTCTTGTGAAACGTGCTTCAGTGAACATAGGAGTCCAACTATTTCATTTCAAAGGCTTTATCCAAGAAATATGAAAGCACTAATTTGGATACACTAATTTGGATAAGCCCTCTGAGATGAAATAGATAATATGGTAATTCTTAATATTTGAGAACTCTCCATACTGTTTTTATTTTTGGTTTGGGGCCATACCCTGTGCTACTGAGGAATTACTCCAGGCTCTGTACTCAGGGGTCACTCTAGATATGACTTATAGGACAATATAGGGTGCCATGGACCGAACCCAGGTTGGCTACATTCATGGCAAGTAACTACTGTACTATCTCTCCAGCCCTTCTATACTGTTTCTGTGGAGGTTGCACCCATTTATATTTCCACTAACAGAACACAAATGTTCCTTTTCACCACTTCTTAATTTGCATTTTTCTAATGATAAGTGATGACATACATCTGGACAATGTTCCTGGTGCCTTCCTTACAGATGGTTGGCCATCTGTAAGTCTTTGGAGAAATTCTGTTCAGCTTTTCTGCCTATTGTGTAATCAGGTTGTTTTTTTGTTGACTTGTTTAGATATCTTGGGTATTAAGCTCTATATCAAGGGCATCATTTGCAAATATCTTCTCCCACTCAGTTGGAAGTTCTCATTTTGGTAGTTGCTTTTTACATTAGTGATGTTTTCTTTGCTTTTTTCCATTTTTGGATGACACCCAGCAGTACTTAAGGTTTCCTCCTGACTGCACTCGGAAATCCCTCCTGACTGAGCTTTGGAGACCATATGTATGTAGTGCAGGGTCTTGAACCTGGGTCATTCTGTTGCAAGGCAAGTGGTGGCCTGCCTAGGGTACTATTTCTCTGGCCGTGATATGGTTTCTTTAGCAGAGCAGGTTTTTTGCTTCATTGAGTACCCTTTGCTTTATTCTTTACTGTTGAGGTCACTGTATCACTGTCACTGTCATCCCGATGTTCATCGATTTGCTCGAACGGGGCGCTAGTAATGTCTCCATTCATCCCAACCCTGAGATTTTTGCTAAAAAACATTTCCTTATTCGTCTTTCCTAATGGAGGCTCTTTCGGGGTCAGGGGAATGAAACCCGTTATTGTTACTGTTTTTGGCATATCAAGTATGCCAAAAACAGGGAGCTTGCCAGGATTTGCCTTGCGGGCAGGGTACTCTCGGTAGCTTGCTGGGCTCTCCGAGAGGGACAGAGAATGTATATAAGAGGATACAAGCAAGTATGTTAAAACCAAACACATGTGTGTTGCTTTAGGTGTATCAGTGGGCTAGACTACAAGAGGTCTTGGGGCCGCAAATGCGGCCATGCGCTTCTGGGAGCTTTGTTTTATAGTCTCTGGAGCTTGGTCGTTGATGGGGTTATGTGGCGCTGGGGGCAGTTTGTGGGTATGACTGTTGAGGTCAAATCTTCAAAAGTACCTATGTCCAAGACAGTATCAAGCAATGTATTGCTTATGTTTTCTTAGTATTCTGTGGTTTTCACATCTTACAACCCAGTTCTTAGAACATTTTGAATTGCTTTGTGTATATGGTTTAAGATAGTCTAGTTTCTTTTGCATGTGAGTGTGTTTTTTCTCTGATATTTAGCAAAGTAACACTTGCAGGAGGTGGTAAATCAACCATAGAGGAGAGTTCTTAAAGACAAGCATAGTCTGTGATAACATTCCTTAGACTGGAGAACTTTGTTTGCAGGGCTCTAGTAAGCATGTAGTAAGAGAAATTCAACCTGGGCAAAGCATACACTCCAGCCCTTTGAGCCATTTCCCTGGTGCCCCTTCCCCCACCTTGGACTCTTAAATTTATCTAGGTCTTTTGAGAGAAAAATCAATCCCCATTTTAAAAACTGTTAATTGCATGAAATTGTGTAATATTTTTAATTTGATGAATTTCTTGTGCATATTTTCCCTTTTTTAAGAAATAAGTTTTTGGGGGCCACAACTGGCAAAGCTCAAGTGACCACATGGGGTGCTGGGGATGGAAGCTGGCTTGGCTGCGTATAATGCAAGCACCATACCCGCTGTACTATTTTTTTTCAGCCCATCTTTTTTTGTTGATGTTGTCTTGGGGTCACATCAGGCAATGTTCAGGGGTTACTCCTGATTCTGCACTCAGTAATTGTTCCTGGTGGTTCTCAGGCGACCGTATGGGATGCTGGGAATCAAACCCGGTCAGCCACTTGTAAGTCATACGCCTTACCCGCTATACTTTTGGATCACACTGGGCAATGCTCAGGAGTTACTCCTGGCTCTACTCAGAAATTACTCCTGGCAGTGCTCAGGGAACCATATGTGATGCCAGGGATCAAACCCCAGTTGGCCAAATGAAATGCCCTACCCTGCTGTATTATCACTATAGCCCTAAGGTTAGATGCATTTTATATTGAAATATGATTACCATTGTAGTGTTAACATCTCTACTACACCACCAATTTTTTTCTTTTATTGGAATTTTTTTAGCGGACATTTTCAGTTCTTGAAGAGTATAGTGAACCTATAATTTTAAACTTCCTAATTGTGAGGGGTTTATTTTCCTGAAAATATTTAAAAATTTTTATAAAGTAACCTACAGCAAAATTCATTCTTTGTGTTATCAAGTCTTGTAGCTACCCACTACAGTGAGATATAGAATAGTTATGGTCAACATCTCCCACCCATTATTTCTCTCAAAAAAACAAAAAAATGACCCATCTTCCTTACTTTGTTTTGTAGTGAGTGTGTCAACACTCTGATTCCTAACAACGCACTAATCCTTGTGTCTTAACATTGGAATCATACACGTTTTTTCTCTCCTTCTCTGTTGGTGTTGTTATAATGACCAGGATTTCCACACATGCCAGATAGTAGTAACCACACATCCATTTAAGGTGCTCATTGGGGTTTTCACCTGAAGTTGTGTTTGGGAAGCTAAATTTCACTTAACTGGTTGTGTTTGCACACATGCTTGCTGGGAGTTAAACTCTTGGTTATGGTTCTCTGTCGCATTATGGTTTAGTGTCTTTTGAATAGCTCACTTTTTATATGTACTCTCACCTTCTCACAGGGAGTGACGCTGCTGACTATGTTGCCCGCACATTTATGTAATTGCAGTGCAGTACTCACTAGGGATTGCACACTCCTTGTTTGCAGTACTCCACACCTGGCTTGTATCACTGGGGATTGTAGATGGCAGAGTTGCCTGGATTGTATTCCATGTACTTGGGCAGCACCAGGATTGAACTCAAGGTCACACCCTGCAAGCCAGGCACTAAGTCATCTTCCAGCCCCCTCAAAATAGACATTTTTTTTTTTGGCTCTGCACTAGGGATCACACCTGGTGAGGTTCAGGGAACCATATGCAGTGCTGGGGATCAAACCCAGGGTGACTGCCCTAGAAAGCAAGTGCCCCTACACACTGTGCTTCCTCTGGTCCCGTTAGCTTGGTTTCACACAGATTAGAGCATTTTACGTTCATCTATATTGTGTGTATCAATAGTGTGCTCTTTTTTATTGCTGAGTAATATTCTGTTGTGTAGGTCACTATAGTATGTTTTCCTGTTCACCAGTTAAATGAAATTTAGCTTCCCAATATTTTTGCAACTATAAAAAAGCCTGCTATAAGCATTTACATATACGATTTTAATTTATTTGAGATAAATATGAAGGATGGAATTGATGTATCATTGATAAGGGTTGTTTTGTTTTGGGGGCACTTCTGGAAGTACTCAGGACTTACTCCTGGCTCTGCACTCCGGGATCACTCCTGGTGACACTCAGGGAACTGTATGGTATGCCCTACCCACTATACTATTGCTCCAGCCCAAAAAGTATTTTTGACTATGTAAGAAACTGCTAAAATGTTTTTCCAAAGTGGCTGGCCATTTTTGCGTTGCTAGAGGTTGATATTGTCAAGGTTTTTTTGTTTGCTTCTATTAGTGGTGCTGTGGGACCAAGACCCTGCCTGATCTCATATACACAATGCACTCACCCTTCTACCACTGAGCTTCATCTGCAAACTAACATTGATTACAGCTTAATGTTTATGTGTTTTAGGGATACACTGTTAACATACCATGTCCATCAAAGTGCGAAATCCCCCCACCATTGTCCTTAGGACCCTTTCTGTTCAACCCCTTTAATCCCCTTGATTACTTCTTTTCTATTGTTAGAGTCTAATGGCTTGTTTTCATTGGACATTTCTGTTCCCTTGCTTTGCTTCTTTATATGCCACCAATGAGTGAGATCATCTGGTATTTGTATTTCTTCTGGTTTATTTTGCTTATTGTGTTCCCCTCCAGTTCCATCTATGTCATGACAAAAGGCAAGCACATTTCTTTTAGGGGGGTAATGTTTCATTATGTATATATACCGCAACTTCTTTATCCACTCATCTGTCTTGGGTTCATTCTAAGAGATCCCACTTTTCTTCCTACGTTTTTTTTTTTTTTAAGTATCTCACTACTTCCAAGTGGGTTTCTTTACCCTTTGTAGAACAACCTTCACTATTTCTTGCACATCCAGTTTAGTGACCATGAATTCCTTTACTGTTTGTCCAAAAGTTTTTTTTAATCACTCCCTTGAATCTTAGTGATAACAGATAGAGTATTCTTGGTTGGAGGTCTGGTCCTGATCTAAAAAAAATCCAAAGATCTAACACTTTGGTTATTTTATGCCACTCCCTTTAGACTTGTCAAGTTCTGTTGAGAAAACTGCTGAATCTTATGGAAGTTTCCTTTTATGTGAATCATTGCTTTTTCTCATGCTGTCTTGGAATTCTGTCTCTATCTTTGTTTGGTTTCTGTCATTTTAATTACAATCTTAGCTTTGTCTATCTGGGCTTATTTTGTTTGGAATTCTTTGAACTCCCTGAATTTGGGTAGCTATCTCCTACCTTAGATTATTAAAGTTTTCAGTTATTCTTTTTTTTCTTATGTTAATTTTATTTATTTATTTATTTTAATTTTTATTAGTGAGACATCATGAGGTACAGTTGTAGACTTACAATTTTTTGTGCTTGGGTTTCAATTATACAATGATCAAATACCCATCCCTCCACCAGTGCCCATTTCCCACCACCACGGATCCCAGTATCCCTCCCACCCCCCACCCCCCCCCCCCAACCCACCCTACCTCTATGGCAGGGCATTCCCTTTTGTTCTCTCTCTCTTATTGGGTGTTGTGGTTTGCAAAAGAGGCAATGGGTGACAATCATGTTTGGTCTATAGTCTACTTTCAGCATGCTTCTCCCTCCTGGGAGGATCCTCCCAACACCCTTTATTTGGTGTTCCCTTCTCTATCAGTTCTCAGTTATTCTTCAGCGAAGAATTCTTCCCGTTTCTGGGGCTGAAGATATAGTACATAATGGGTTTGGTTCTTGCCTTGCACACAGCTGACCCTATTTGAATTGCAGTTATCCTAGCTCATCAGAAGTGATTTCAGAAGCAGAGCTAGGAGTAACCCATGAGCAGTGTCAGCTGTGACCCCAAAACAAGAATTATTCTCCTTTCTCTATCTTCTTTCTTCAACCTTATGATGCAAATGTTAACCCTCTCGATATTCTCCCATAAGTCTCATGTTTTCATCATTAAAATTTTAATTTTTTCTTTTGTTCTTTGTTCAAAGAGTATATATTTTTTCACCTTAACCCTGAGTTAACTGATTTGATATTTATTTGGCTCATTCTGCTGTTGAGCCCCTCTATAGTTGGTTTTTTGTTTTAGTTCTACTACATTCTGCTATTTTCTTTTTGTTTTGGGGCCACATCTGGCCATGCAGCATGCAGGGCTAGTCCTGCCTTGGTGCTCTAAGAGTTGCTCTCAGTAGTAGTCATGAGACTGTCTAGAACCAGGATGCTCAAGATTGCTGGTGCCTGGGAGGCCCTTGCGTGCCCCCCCCACCCCCCAGTATCTTCCTGTGGTCATATAGAAAGGGGAGGGGAAGGGGAGACGAGGGGGAATTTGCTGTAATCCAGAGAACACTGGCCTTGACCTTGTCTTTATCTCTCACTGCCCATCCCCCCAACCCCACTCACTCCCCCTTTAACTCTACCTCAAAGATACTTATTCTAGAGAACCAATTTTTCTTTCTCTACTTGGATCCATGTTTTGTTTTAATTATTCTAATAAAAAAGCACATGCCATGTAAGTGGTGATTTCTAACATTACTGTAAATAATTTATTTTTCCCTTACAAGGTCAAACTTATGTTTTTCCTTTTGCATCACTATGGTAATTCTCCAGAAACTCCCCCCTTTTCCTCTCTTGTACATCCAGTGGCCTACTTATTATCTGGGCATGTCCAGTAGGTTTGTTTTTTAGTTTGATTTGTTTTTTGGCTTGAGAAACAATATGCCAGGTTGCCTGCATACATCACCAGGGGAAAGTTAAGACTTGAGACCATTATTTACATTCCAGACTGTAACTTCCTGAACTTCACTTCTTCCTTCCTCCAGCAATCTCAAGCTCCTATTTAGACTATAAAGTAAGTTGTAATGTTTAGTTTTTGATAACCTTCATCCCACTCTATAGAGCCTCATGTTCCATTTTGTATTTGATATCTTTATTTCAAAAGTCTCTGAGTTGGGACAAGAGGATAATTGGAATCTTAATTTTTGAATTTTTATTTGTATGCTCTAAAAAAATCCCCTCTTTGAGGTGGGAGGGAGCAGAACTAGCAGTGCGTAGGGATTACTCCTGACTCTGAACTCAGAAATCACTTCTGGTGGTGCTCTGGTGGTGTTTGGGGGCCATAAGGATGCTGGGGTAATTCAGCCACATGCAAGGCAAGTGCCTACCTGCTGTACTATTGCTCTGACCACCACTCTGCATGCCCCCTCCCATTACCTTTTTTAGTGATGGATCCAAAACTTCTAAAAGTTGCAGCTTCTCTTTGCTTTTTCCAGTCTCTCCTTGAACTTGACCTCTTGTATTCCAGAGTGGGGTCTCTGAGCACATTCTTGTTGACCAGAGTTTTGTCCTAGTAGAGTGCCACAGAGAACCTTATAAGCATGAGGTGACCATTTGTATGAACAGTCACAGAGGGCTTGATCTTTGACTTTCTGACAATTTTGCTCTTTCCCTGGCAGCTGTCACGTAGAGGGTAGATAATTCCAGCCACCAGAGTGGGGCTGTCTAAGCAGTCTGCGGTGTATGCCTCAATCTCTTTCATAACGACCGTTTTTGCATCGGAAGTAGTGCCAGCTAGGCCCAGCACCATTGCCTGGGTTTTGTGAATGTGTCCATTTAAACAGCCTTTCAGGCCTGCAGCTGAGCATGTATTCCCCCTTTGGGTTTTTGGCCCACATCTGATGGTGCTCATACTTCGTGTTGCTTAGGGGACTTTGTGGGGTTGGCTATGTACAAGGCAAGTATCTTAACTTATGTACTATCTTTTCTATAGCTGAACCTTAACTTAAAAAATAAAAATAATAAAAGGAAAATCCATGCAAGTTGTTCTGTCTCTCTTACTTTACAGGATGTCATCATCACAATTTGCTGCTCGACATAGGAAGGATTTAAGTACTGAGATGATTAGAACTAAAATTGCTCAAAGAAAATCACTGTCTCAGAAAGAAAACAGACACAAGGAATTCCAGCGAAATAGACTCTTTGGTTTGAAAGATGTCAACATTCCAATCATGGAAGGTAGAAGTCTTCTTGAAATGAGTGAGACTTCTGAAGAGCTTGTTCCCAAAAAGGCCACTATGAAATCAAGTATGTAAATATCTATTACAGTTTTTAGTGCTTTGAAGAATGAATAAAAGATGATTTAATAGTTTAGGTTAAAAAAAAATCCTAACCAAAGGATGGAGCTTTCAAATATCATTAAGATGATTTGGTATTTTCTATACTGAAAATAGCTATTTATCATAAAGGTTGTGAAGGTTCCCTTGCTAGTCTAAAGCCATTTGCTTCTGATATGTTTTAACACTTCATTCTGTATGTTGCCATATAGAAACCCTAAAGTCGGGAGCTAGAGTTAGTGTTGATTAGATAAATTGATAAGGGACATAAAACTAGAACTGAATGAAGACTCCTTGAAATGATTCGCTTCCAGTGGAAAAGATTCATAGAAAATAAAAGAATTGGGGCCAGAGCGAAAGTACAATGGGTAGGACATTAGCCTTGCATGTGGCCGACCTGGATTCAATCCCTAGCATCCCATATGGCCCCCTGAGCACTGCTAAGAGTAATTCCTGAGTGCAGAACCAGGAGTAACCCCTGAGCATCACCACATGTGACCCAAAAAGCCAAAAAAAAAAAACCCCAAAACCCTTAACCCCCAAAATAAAAGAATTATTCATCCTTGCATTTTACCCAAAGAATATGGTGTCCCTAGGAAGAAATCAACTTCAGCAGAAAGGAAAAGAATGATCCTGGGGACAGAATTTTAAAATAATGTGTCTTTTAAAAGGCAAGAGATGCTTAGGGAAGGAGGAGGAGGCTGGAAATGACTTTCATTTAGCTACAACTCAGTAGATTAGTGTGTTTGTAGTAAACTTATAACAAAGCAAAAATGGTGACAAAATGACTTAAAAGTGATTGTTTTATTTTTTTTATTATTTTATTTTTTTCATTTTGGCTCAGGGAAGTTTAGAGCTTACTCCTAGCTTTGTACTGAAGAATCACTACTGACGGGTTCAGGGGACCATATGGTATGTAGGGACTGAACCCAGGTTGGCTGAGTGATAACAAGTGCCCTACCCACTATACTATTTCTAGTCCCTGTTTAATTGATGCTTTTTGCTTTTTGGGTCACACTTGGCAATGCTCAGGGGTTACTCCTGGCTCTGCACTCAGGAATTACTCCTGGCAGTGCTCAGGGGACCATATGGGATGCTGGGAATTGAACCCGGGTCGGCCGTGTGCAAGGCAAATGCCTTACCAGCCCTTAGTTGATGCTTTAATGAAGATATTGAGCTAGAATATCTCAGCGTTAACATTATTTTATGATTCTAAAAGACACAATTTTTATTTTTGGTTTATTATTTGGTTCCAAAAAGAGATGATTAGTGTAAATTAAAGGTAAAAGGCAGTGGGCTGGGTAGAGGAGTATGGGGGAATGGATATTCTTTTCTTAGGAAGTGGAAGGAAATTTAAATGGTGCCCTAGAGGGGCCAGAACAATACTACAACAGGTAAGGCACTTAGTCTAGGCTCAGGGATCACTCTTGGCTCTATGCTCAGGAGACCATGTGGGGTGCTGGGGGTTGAACCTGGGTCTGCCACATGCAAGTGCCTTACCCACTGTATGTACAATTGCTCAGGCCCCAGGGGTTCCTTTATTTATTTATTTATTTATTTATTTATTTTGATAGGGTGGAAGCCACAGTGCTCAGTGCTTATTCTAGGCTCTGGGCTCAGAAATCATTCCTGATGGGCTTCGGGAAACCATATGTGGTGCCAGGGACTAAGCCCTGATCCACTGCAGGCTACCTGCTATGCTATTGGTCCAAGGCTCCATTTTTTTGATCAAATGACCTCAAGTGGAAATATAACTGTCAATTTACTATTAAAGTATCCTTTGTTTATTTCCCATTTGCAAAGGTCTAAGCTTGGAAGTGAGCCTGTGCTTGGTAGAAAGAGCATATGGAAGGCTGTCATTGTAAGGACTTTGACAGTTATTCTGAATAGGTGAAATAAGAAGCCGTTCTTGGATTAATGGTTGTCCTGTAATCTGTTTCATGTTGTTGTATTGGGTTTTGTTGTTTGTTTTTACTTATGGGGTACTCCTGGCTATGCACTCATATAACTATGACCATATGGGATGCTAGGGATCGAAACCCGGTCAGCCATGTGCAAGGCAAGTGCTTTGCTGCTGAACTGTCATTCTGGCCCTCATAACTTCCTTTTGTCTAAGGATTCCAAGTTCCCTTTACCCTCAGCAGCTTGTCTGATGGGACTCCCCAAACTTTATTACAGACATATTGGCAACACTGAAAATTCTGCCTGAATTGTGTGGTCATTCTCCACTGACTTCACCACAGGGCAGCTATGGGGACAAAGACGAGACTGGGGTGGGGGGGGGGGGTGCGGGCTGTATGGCAGACATTCTTCATTTCATCCACATCCTCCAGGCCCTTATTTATGGTTTTTTGTTTTATTTGGTGGTCACACCCGACAGTGTTCAGGGATCACTCTTGTCTGACTTGGGGGACCTTATGCAGTGCCAGGATTCGAAGTCAGGTTGGCCATGTGCAAGGCAAGCAACCTACCACTATACTATTGTTCCAACACCCTTCCACCTCCCACACCCCCCATTCATGTTTTAAAGACATCTTTCTGCTCTACCGACTGTAGACTATATAGAGTGGTAATCATGGCTCCTGGGAGACTAATGAGATGGTCGTAATAAAATTTAGTTGATAGTTCACGATTGATCAGGTTGGTAGCAGCAAGTTAGTTAGCTGCAGTATGAATGCCTTTTGTCCAGTAGACCTTTCTAATGGATTGGATGTGGGATTAATAAAGACAGTTTGAAATGATTCCAAGGTGTTTGGCTTTACCAGCTGAAAATATGGCTTGGCCATTGACAATGTTATAAGAGACTGAGAGGGGAACAGTCTTTGGGAATTGTAAGATTTAAGCGCCCAGTCGATCATGGATATATTAATTTGAGGTGTCCATCAGAACTGAGAGGAGAGATGCTGTCAAGTTAGATGTTCCAGATGAGCCTGTGGGGGGAGGGAGTCTGGCCTGAAGCTCAGTGTGCAGGAGTTGTCAGCGGTACATGGCTTTTGAAGCAGTAAAACTAGATGTGATTATCCAGAACTTTGTCATGGAAAAAGAAGAGAAGTGAGGCGAACAGTCCAACAGTTAGGGTGAAGGAAAACCAGCAAAGAAATGAGGGGCAAAGAGAACACCAAAGAATGGGCTACCCTGGAGACAGGCGAGGCAGGAATAGCGAGGAGGGACTCTTTAGTGTGTTAGTGCTGTTTGCTGATGTATTTGGTTTTTGTTTGTTAGAGTTTTCTGTTTTGTTTTTTGGAGGCGGGGATTTTGGGCAATACCTGACGTGCCCAGGAGCTATTCCCAGTTCAGTGCTCAGGGAGCTGCTCAGAGGATCTCGTGATGCTGGAGATTGACCCCGGTCCTCCTTCACACAGAGCATATGTTCAGTTTATTGAACTACCTTTCCTACCTTATTTCAAGTGATTTTTGAAGTATAATTTGACCATCTTCACTGTGAAGGTCATAGGTATTCTAAACTCGTGTTCAATTCTTTTACTGGTATTGATTTGTAGATTGGTAGGTAGTTTTGGTTCCAGAGAGCAGCACCATCTAGGACATACTATTTTTTTCCTCCAAAATTGGATTTGAGTCTAATTAAACCCTGAGATAGTTTTCCAAGGTTTTGGGGGGGGGTGTGGAGTAATGAGTAAAAAGCAGGAGGAAGTAAACAGATATATACAATGGAAGATAGTCTATTGAACAACAAAATAATGGTATGAAAAGAGAGATGAGAGGAGAATCTCATGAAGACACTTAGAAGACATCTATATGCCACAAATGGGTCTTGCTTGCTTTTTGTTTCCAGTAGTTTTAAAAATATCTCTTTGAAGTAAGGAAATTTATATCTGGCCCCTGTAATAGATAACATCTTAACTGCTAATTTTGTTAGGTGTGTGATGATGATATGGAAGGTTATGAAAGAAAATGTCTATTTTTAGAGCTACATACTGAAGTACCTAGGGATAAAATTTGTTGAGTAGAAATTTTTTTAAGAATAAGGATTGAAATACCTATAGTTAACAGGCTAAGAAATGAATAAGAATTTGCTTAAAAGCGTTTCTTAGGGGGACAGAGAACTAGTACAACGGGTTAAGGTAATTGTCACGCATGCAATCAATCCAGGTTCAACTACTAGCCCTGTGTGTACCACCCCTCCTCCCCCGACTCCGAGCCCTGCTAGGAGTAATCCGTGACCATAGAGCCAGGGGTAAGTGAGCACCACCAGGTGTGGCCACAAACAGCAACAACAATGAAAGAATGCTTCTTAGCAGTAGTTGAAAATTAGCTGAAGCATTTGAACAAAATTATGTTTCAGATGCTTTTTTATAAATTTTTGTATAAATTTTTATTTGAAATGTTTTCTCTCTTTTTGTGTTTTTCTTCATTGGCTCAATGAAAACTGTTAGGTGATCAACGAAGACAAATGCTCCAGAAATTCAAGGAGGAAAAGCAGCTTCAAAAGCTGAAAGAACAGAGAGAGAGAGCGAAAAAAGGAATCTTTAAAGTGTGTCGTTTTAGACCTGACATGCCTTATTTTCTGTCAAACCAGAAGACTCTGAAAGCTGAGCCTCAGAAGGTAAATGTATCATCCTAAACTGATACAGAGGGATTTTAGAAGGAATTTTAAAAGGTTAATGACTGGGGCCGGAGTGATAGCACAGTGGGTAAGGTATTTGCTTTGGTACACGGCCTAGCCGGGTTCGATCCTGGGCATCTCATATTGTCCCCTGAGCACTGCCAGGAGTAATTCCTGAGTGCAAAAGCCAGGAGTAACCCCTGAGCAATCCTGGGTGTGACCCAAAAAGGAAAAAAAAAAGTTAATGACTAAGCTTTTTTATTAACTTTCCTCTTCCCTTTATTCATTTGACTAGTTGGTAGAAGGCGGGAATTACAAAGGCGATAAGAATCAAAGCACTCAACTAGCTTGGGTAAACTGAGAATAGGATAAATTAGGAGAGAAAGTTGAGCAGGGTGAACAATGAACATTTTGTCAAAGGGTTTGGCATTTCTCCTGGAGAATATGGCAAGCCCTGGGAGACTTATACATGAGTTTTGTGTTAGATTAATAATTTGAGAGGAGTACCCTAGTTAGGAAAATTATCATTTGGATAGGACAGTGTCAATTGTTTATGGATAGGAAGATCAGTTGTGAGATTATTATACAAGATTAGATTAAGGCTCATAATCTGGGGCAGTGGGTTTAAAAGGAAGAAAGAGGCAAAACTCATTTTGAGAAAAAAATTGACAGGACTGATGACCTTGTAGATGGTAAGGGGTAAAGGAAATTGAAGAGTCAGATAGGATGATTCTGGTATTGGCTTGAACAACCATGTAAATCATGCTGCTTCTCAAGAGATACAGAAGATAAGAAGAGAAATGGATTTATGTAGGTGCATATTAAAACTTAAAAACAAAAAAACCTGCTTGGGTCATCTAGATTAGCATATCTTATTTTTCCAACAGTGGCCCCTTCACATCTTGTTTCATTCCTGTCCCGCTCTCATCCTACCGTTTGGACCCCCCAAGTCTCATGCCATGACCCTTTCATTTACACAGTTTTTATCAGTGCATCCCTTGGAATATTGTCGGAGCTCCCAGGGGACCATATGGCTGCTGGTTGAGAAATGTGGCTCTAGAAAATAGGCCCTTATGGGGAAAGTTTTGGAAATTGGGCACTGGGGGAGGAGGCTTATATGGTCCCTCAAACACTGCTGGGTCTCAGCCCTCCTGTTCCCCCACACATGCAAAAAGGTTTTTTTCTTTTTTGGGAATTCTTTCTAAGGAGGAATCTAGTCTATAATATTGGGAGCAAAGGTGAGCATCTAAGGTATAGAACTGCGTGAGAACACTGCAGTAAGGATCTACAAAGTTCTAGAAGAGTTCATTCTAAAGAGCATCTTCATCCAAACAATAGTCAGGTATCAGTGATGAAAGTTAGTTTGACTTCAAAATGAGAGCTTCACTTCATAATGAGACATGGAAATAAACTTTTGCTTGTTTCTTGACAGTGCTTAGGACTCTGTGCTTTGTGCTCAGAGATCCTGGCAGGGCTCAGGAGACCATATGGGGTTCCAGGGGTTGAACCTGGATCTGACTCATACAAGGCAAGCTCCTTCCTCACTGTACTGTCAAACTGCCCCCAGCCTGATTGTTTTCAAACATTCTCTTCTTTTAATTGCTTTAAGGATGTTCAATCTTCTGTGCGGATTACAAGGTCAAAGGCCAGAGAGCAAATGGAACAGATTAAGGTATAGTTGATAATTGTTACTAAATGATAAGCGGTGACATTTTTCCCTCAGCGTGTAAATTTATTTTTAATCTAATGACAGCTTCAAGGACAATCATTTATCTACTTGATAAATAATACCAATTTTCTTTTTTTGATATTGCAACAGAAAAGTTTTGGCTGGACCCTAAGGAAATACTCTTTGTGAGGTTTATCTTGGTGCCACACTCATTTTGTTAAGTGACCTTCTAATGAGCCATTCTGTGACCCATGAATACGTCTAGGGATGTAGGCACATCAGAGAGGTGTTGTAAATGTTAGAGTCTTCAAGATAGCATAATGGATAAGGTTAGTAGGAGAGTTACTAAAATCAAGTGAAGTAGTCAAGGAGGAAAATAGTATGTCTTTTTATTTGGTGAGCAAGTATTCTCTATTATCATGAAAGTTTTTTTTTTTAAAGGAAAAGGAAATAAAGACTGCTGAAGTAAGTATGGTCTGGAATCTTGATTGGAGCAGGAAATAGGTTCAGGACCAATTTCTAATTAGGGAAGGAAGTTCCCCATGTACAGAGCAAGCAGTTCCCCAGATGACCTCTTTATGTCACATATTGGACGATTCTGGACTTGCTTCCCAATGATGGTATCAGGTTCAGCAGCAGTCAGGCAGATGTCATACGCAAAGATGAAAAAGCTCTTTCTGTTTTGGAGAATTTTCTAGGCAAAATTCAAAGGTCTTAGAGCAAAAATGCATCTGATGTATTTAAGGACCCTCAGATTTTAGTCAGCTATTGCTAATAGCTTATTAGTATCTTCCAAATTCTAAGTATGCTTTCGAGGAATTTCTTCATCTCCTTTTATGTGGGATAGTGAACTTTTTGCTGGGTCATTTCTCGTTGTCGTTCTTTCAGATGGTTTATTTACCGATGTCAAATGTGATTCGATTCATTATACAGTTAAACCATTGGGCACCTCCTCTGTTCAACAGATTAATGATGGAACTAAAGTTCGAGCAACTCTATCTGCTCCAAGGCAAACTTCTGCAAAGAAAGCGTTGGATAAAGAGAAACAAGGTGGGAGACATTAGACATTACTATAAGCCTTGATGCACCCATAATTATTAAAACAATTTAATAATTGCAGAAGTCATTTTGTTTGATTAATTTTTCCTTTACAGCTCCACGGCCTGTTACCACAGTGGTGAGAATGACTCGCTCAGCTACAAACAATTTACAGTCAGCAAAGCAGATTGTCCAAACAGTCTCCTCTGCAACGAGAAAGACAGTCATGAGTGCTACTAATGGTAAGAACTCTTTTTGATCAGTAAATGAGCTAGACTGTCCTTGAAGTTTTGTGCTCAGTTGTTTTAAATCAGCAGGCTTTTCTTTTCTTTAAGAATAAAAGGTAGAAAGGGAGGAAATAGGAAATTAAATTCCTGCAGCTAGACTGTGCCCCTACATCCAGACTTGTTGCTCAGGTGTTGAAGGCCCTGATTGTTGTAAGTAGTGCTTTCAAATGAAAAAGGAATTGACTCAAATTATTAATACACCATCCATTTGCTGGGATATAGTGTGGCCATTAAAGAGCAACATGAAAAATACTGAAGGATGTTGTTTCTGATATAGTAAATAAAAACAGGCCAAATTTGGAACAATATGATGACAAAATTCTAAAGAAGTTGTATATGTGAATAGAAAAAACTTGATAAACTTACCCCAAAATATTATCCAGAGTATTATTGAGTGATGTAAACTTGGGGTGATTTTTTTTCTTGCTTATTATTGTTCTTTGTTTTATTTTGTTTTATTTATATTTTTAAATTTTTTATTAGCGAATCACCATAAGGTACAATTACAGACTTACAAACTTTGTGCTTGCATTTCAGTCATACAATGGTTGAGTATCCATTCCTCCACCAGTGCCCATTTTCCACCACCAATGGTCCCAGCATCCGTCCCACCACCCCCACCCCATCCCCTCCACCTCACCCTGCCTCTGTGGCAGGGCATTCCCTTTTGCTCTCTCTCCTTTTGAGTGTTGTGGTTTGCAATAGAGGTATTAAGTGGCCATCATGTTCGGTCTAGTCTACTTTCAGCCTGCATCTCTCATTCCGAGCAGGTCCTCCTAGCTCCCTTTACTTGGTGGTCTCTTCTCTATCTGAGCTAACTTTCCCCCTAATATGTGAGGCCAGCTTCTAAGCTGTGGAGTAATCCTACTTATCTCTACTATTCTTGGGTGTTAGTCTCCCATTCTTTTACTTTATATTCCACAAATGAGTGCAGTCTTTCTATGTCTGTTTCTCTATTTCTGACTCATTACACTTAACATGATACCTTCCATGTTGATCCACCTATATGCAAATTTCATCACTTTATCTTTTCTAACAGCTGCATAGTATTCCATTGTGTAGATGTACCAAAGTTTCTTTAACTAGTCATCTGTTCTCGGGCACTTGGGTTTTTTCCCAGATTCTGGCTATTGTAAACAGTGTTGCAATGAACATATAGGTGCAGGTGTCATTTCTACTATACCTTTTTGCTTTTCCAGGATATATTCCCAGAAGTGGTATTGCTGGGTCAAATGGAAGCTCAATTTCTATTTTTTTGAGAAGCGTCCATACTGTTTTCCAAAAGGGTTGAACCAGTTGACATTCCCACCAGCAGTGAAAGAGAGCCCCTTTCTCCCCACATCCACGCCAACACCAGTTGCTTTTGTTCTTTTTGATGTGGGCCAGTCTCTGTGGTGTGAGATGGTATCTCATTGTTGTTTTGATCTGTATCTCCCTGATGATTAGTGATGAGGAGCAAATCCACATGGCCATTCGAATTTCTTCTTTGAGAAAGTTTCTGTTCATATTCATTGCCCCATTTTCTGATGGGGTTGGATGTTTTCTTCTTGTGGAGTTCAACCAGTGTCTTGTAAATCCTTGATATCAGCCCCTTATTGGATGGGTATTGGGTCCTTTCCCATTCTGTAGACTGTCTTTGTATTCTAGTCACTGTATCTTTTGAGGTGTAGAAGCTTCTTAGTTTAAGGTAGTCCCATTTGTTTATCTCTGTTTCCACTTGCTTGGCCAATGGAGTGTCACCTTTACAGATACCTTTAGCTTCAGTGTCGTAGAGGGTTTTGCCAACCTTGTCTTCAATGTACCTGATAGTTTCTGGTCTGATGTTGAGGTCATTAATCCATTTTGATCTGGTGTTAGGTAGAGGTCTGAGCCCGCCCCCCCTTTTTTTTTTTTTGCATGTAGCTGTCCAGTTTTGCCAGCAGTATTTGTTAAAGAGGCTTTCCTTGCTCCACTTCACATTTCTTGCTCCCTTATCAAAGATTAGATGATCATATATTTGAGGGTGTGTGTAAGGATACTCCACCCTTTTCCACTGGTCTGCAGCTCTGTCTTTGTTCCAGTACCATGCTGTTTTAATTATTACCACATTGTAGTAGAGTTTGAGGTTGAGGAAGATGAGACCTCCCATCTTGTTTTTCTCCAGAATTGCTTTAGCTATTTGTGGAGGTTTGTTGTTCCATATGAATTTCAGGAGTGTTTGATCCATTTCTTTGAAGAATTTCATAGGGATCACATTGAATTTGTATAATGCTTTGGGGAGTATTGCCATTTTGACAATGTTAATTCTCCCAATCCATGAGCAGGGGATATGTTTCTATTTCCTTGTGTCCTCTATTATTTCGTGAAGTAGTGTTTTGTAGTTTTCTTTGTATAGGTCCTTTACATTCTTAAGCTGATTCTGAGGTACTTGATTTTTTTGAGGCATGATTGTGAACGGGATTGCTTTTTTTCTGTGCTTTAATTTTTTGATAATTGCTTGTTATGGTGGCATAATGTAAAATATAAAATAGCACCTTTACTTTGATTTGAAAACAGATGGCATACCTTGGCATGATATGTCTTTTGTTTTTATTCCATTTTATAATGACTTGTATGTATGGGGGGAGAATGACTTCGGACCATTTTATAGCATGTGATCTTAAAATCCTTTTGAGACATGCATTTCTAGAGATTCCTTTTTTCCCCTTTCCAAATTCCTAATGCAATATTTTCTATGTGATCAGTCAAAGTGGATGTCTTATTTCATTTTTTTATTCTAAAAGCAGAAAGAAAATCATCCAATGAAGGAAGATCTATGAAAAAGATAGAAACAAAGCCTGGAGAGGTAGGCCATATATACCTGCTGACTTCAGGTTACTTTAAAAATTTCATTGCGGCTCTCATAAAGCTGAATTAAGCATCTAGATTTGCTTCAAGACCTACATGTTTGCCAAAAATCTCTTGAAAAGCAAAGAAATATTGAGGAGTTTTTTTCTTTTCAGGAATTGTGTTCTCAGTTTTATGGGTATAGGAAGCATAATTTGGTTAACAGGAGATAGGAAAAAATAATTAAAACACAGCTGACAAATCTTTAGGTGTGAACTAGATTAGAGAATTAGGAGATACGCACTAACTTCCCATTCAATTAATCTGAATATTGCCATTGCTTCCAATTCCTTGGGCAAATTATGAATGGTTTGCCTATCTCTAATGCTGACTACCTACATATGTTAGTTTCAAGAATTAAATAATATTCCTAGCCTCTACTAGAGTTTTCCAAAGCAATCAAACAGTTTCTTTTGTCATGGAATATACATATGAGACAGCAAAAATGGTACTTGGAGGACTCAGTTTCTTGGCTTATTATCCTGTGTTAAGTTATTTCTTAACTTTTTGGGGTAAAGGTAGAAAGGTCATACCAAAATTTAAGAGATCTGGCTAGATTCTTATTGAAAAATCAGGCGTAGATCCTTTATGGAAAGTCATAAAGAGTGAACCTTTATAGACAAGTCACTGGACCCCACAGCTCTTCCTTAGAGACTGATTTGCTCCTCATGGATGATCACTAGTTTTTACTTTCACTGCCACACCAGCCTCAGGGACAGTGTGACACATACACTCTCCTCTAGGTTAAGACACTCTGGTTTGAGTCCATATGCCCCTCTCCCCAAATCAGAAACTAGAATAAACCTCTAAAACCTATGTTTAAATGGTGGTAAAATGGGTTAAGGTGGTGAAAAGGTACCAACTTTGATTTATAAAATAAATTCCAGAGATTGTAATGTACAGCATATTGAGGATAGTTACTACTACTGTATATTCAGTGAAGAGAGCCCAATGGGTGGGGACACATGCTTTGAATGCAGGAGCCTTGGGTTCAATCCCCATTACTACCTAGTGCCCCAAGCACTGCCGAGAGTAAGCACTGAGCCAGGAGTAGTCCCCGAGCACTGCCAGAAGTGGTCCCAACACCAAAAGGATATAAATTAATAATACTTATGATAGGATTAATACTTATAATTAATAAATATATGATAGTATGTTTAAAAATTGCTAAGAGAATGTATCGTCAATTATCAAAGACAAACTTGTATTTGATATCAGCTTATAATTTTTATATTAAATCACATGTTTTACACCTGAAATTAATGTAATATGTATCAATTTTGACATGTAACATATTTGGTAAAAATACCAAATTGGCTTTTATAGGGAAAATAATATTAATCATATTTTATATGGTTAATCTTAATGTATCTCACCAAAAACAATTTCTTTGCTTTTCATTTTTTGGTTTTGGGGTGACACCTAGCAGTTCTCAGGACTTACTCTAGGCTCTATGTTCATTGGACCATATGGAGTGTCAGGGATCAAGCCCAGGTCAGCCTCATGCGAGGCAGGCACCTTACCCACTGTATTGTTTCACCAGTCCCTTTGCTTGTATTTTAAGTTTATTCAAGGTTATTTTTAAAAGATTAGATCCTTGATAATAGTAGTCATATAATAAACATTGGGTTGCTGATTCTCAAACCACTGAAATGATCAATTTAGCTTAAATTTAGCTTAAATAAAAAGACATATTTGTAGCTGAGTACATTTTTACACCTCAGGTGGGTTGGTTTTTTTTTTTTTTTTTTTTTGGTTAGGTTTTGTTTTTTGTTTTTGGGCCACACTCGGTACTCAGGACTTTCTGGCCCTACACTCAGGGATCACTCTTGGCGGTGCTCTGTGAATCACATGGGATTAAACCCAGACTGATCACATGCAAGGAAAGCACCCTACCTATCACTCTGATTTGACACCTCAGATTTTATAAAAGCAATTTTGTTTGTTTTGGTGTAACATCGGCAATGCTTGGAGACATGTAGTACTAGGGGTTGAATCAAGATCCCACATGCAAAACCCTTTGAACTGTCTCCCCAGTCTCCATTTTTCATATGTTAGAAAACCTAAAAACTGTATTGAATCCTTTAATAATGGATCTCTTTATGGATCATAGCACTATTCCAGATATACATTTAATTTTTTGTTTCAAACTGTAAACTTGGAACTGACTTCTCAACTTTCACATTTCAGGCCTGGAAATAATTAGTTGTCTCTATCTTAAGTAGAGGAATTTTCACTCTATTCTCTTTACTTGCATCCAGGTCATTTCTTCTAAAGTTGAGAGTGAAGAAAATACTTCGGATCCACAAACCAGTGCAACAAATGGAATAGATCTATCAAAAGTGGAAAACTCGCCAAAGATAAATACTCCGAAAATGAAAGGGAAGAAATCCTTTGCACCTAAAGATTTTATATTTCAACCACTAAATGGTCTGAGGACCTATCAAGTAAACCCTATGACTCCCCGAAGTGCTGACGCTTTCTTGACACCCAGTTACACATGGATGCCTACAGAAACAGAAGTGTAAGACTGTAATGTTGATACTGAATCCCTTGCTAAGGCAACTAAATAACTTCCAAAAGCTCAGGTTAAATCTAAGAAAGGCAATTTAGATGACAAATTGCCTTTCTTAGATTTAACCTGAGCTTTTGGAAGCTATTTAGTTAGTGAAATGTATTAATTAAAAAGTGATGTAAATGTGACCTTTAAAGGTAATCTGCAGGACCAGAGAGATAATATAGGAGTTAAGGCACTGGCCTTGCATGAGGTACCCTGGTTTGATCTCCAGCTCTACATGGTATCCTGAGAACTTCCCCAAAACTCCTCCAAAAAATACTTTTTAGAAGTATTTGGTAATTTTGATATTTCCTATACACACTAATGTATTTGGTAGTTTTGTTATTTCCAATACACTATTTTCTGTTATTTTCATGGTATAACATGCGTTTTAAAAAAGATATAATTTACATTTTTAGAGAGACAAATTTCTATAATACTTTAGCTCAGTCTCATAGTTTCTAATAGTGGCATTGTTTTCTACCTGCAGTCCTGCTACACCAAGCCCACCCTTAGAGTGTCAGGATTCCTCTGTTTTTGTCCCACAGATCCTTCCTCCAACCCCCTTAGCTTCCTCAGTTTACAGTTCTATTGACCTGTATTTTAGAACTTGTTTCTACTTGGGTTGTCTAATCCCTTTCTTAGTTTCTTCCTCCTGGCATGATACCTTTGCGTTCCATCCGTAGAGCAACAGAACAGTAAATTTCATCTTTTCTTATAGCTGAGTCATACCCCATTATGTATATATACCACTTTCTTTTTCCACTCTGTTGCTGGCCATTTGGACTGTTTTCTGACCTTGACTATTGCAAAGGTATAGTAAGTGCTGCTATGAACATAATGTGCATATGTCCTTTTGAATTAATACTTTTGTGTCATTGGGTTAGATACCCTGGAGTAAAATCAAAGGGTGATATGAAAGTTCTGTTTGTAACTTCTTACATTTTTGAGAAGTCTCCATACCATTTTTCAAAGAGGCTGAATTGTACAAGAGTCCTACCAGCAGTGAATGAGAATTCTAGAGAAAAAGATTAACTTACGAAGTGTGTGTGTGTGTGTGTGTGTGTGTGTGTGTGTGTGTGTGTGTGTAAAAGTTGGGGGTGAGGGGATTGCTGTGTGTGAGGAATCACTTGGAATCTTTAAAAGAAAAAGCAAGATTCTTTATGCAAATATTGATGGCAAATTTATTGGAAGCTGCTTAGCAGCTTTCAATGCTACTAAGTGTTTATATTCCATGAAGGACTCTTCAGGGATCACTGCAAGAGCCCCCAGTGGTAGGCTGCATACCTTGATAGCACGAGACCCTGAGTTCAATCCCTGTCCTCACCAACACCCCACGCACCACTGGGGAAGTCTCCATTGACAAAAAAAAATGATTTTCAAAATCCTTGAGACTCACTTTAATAAAAGGGAGCTATCTTTGGAGGTATTTAAATTGCCCTCCCCTCCAGAACAGACATGACCATTATTCTATACCACATTTTTAAAAAAGTTATATAATTTTGAAATATTTCAATTAAATATCCAGGCTTCATATTTCATGAAACATTTTTGCTATTTTTTTTATTTTAAGTGATAAAATTAAAGAAGAAACAAGAGAAATTTTTACACAGGAGTGTGAAACTTATTCTACTGAGACAGTACATCAAGATTCAAATAAATCACAGTGTCTTTTAGATTCTCTCACAGTGTGCAATAAAGGTATGGTCTTTTAAGTAAAATGCATACTTTTCTAGATTATGATTTAGCAGATATTTGTTTAGAATTTTTCTTTTTACTGTCTTGCTCAGAGCTATGACCTCAGGATTAGAAAAGGAAGACTGGATGGGAGAGAGTACAGTAGGTCGTTTCCTTTGTACATGGCTGGCCAACCCAGCATCCCAAATGGTCCCCTGAGCACTGCCAGGAGTAATTCCTGAGTGTAGAGCCAGGAGTGACCGCTGAGCATTGCCAGGTATGACCCAAAAAGTGGAAGGGAGAGAGAAAGGGAGCGCGAGTGGGGGGAGGGAGACTTGGGGAAAGACTTGGGGAGAGAGAGAAAATGGGAAAGGAATTTAGACTACAAGGAGAAGGGAATAAATGTACATTTAAAGAGGTAAAGAATATTTAGAGACTTCAGAGGAGATAAGATATAATAAAATCATTGAGATATCAAATTCTAAAATTCAACATTTAAAAAGTCGAGAATGAAATATTTTAAGTATGGTGCTTCTGAATTTCATATGTAATATTTATTCTTTATTCTATAGAACATAAAAGTGAAACTCTTAAAAATTCACATGGTCACTCAATAGAAGTCCCGCCCCTTCAAATAAATGAAGAACAGATGTCTCAGCAAGAACACAATGTGCCATATTTCAGGTTTGTCCATTGTTCCCAGTCTTGAGATAATTATATTAACATCTAGATTTATTTATTTTTTGCATCTATACATCTTTTAAGGCTGAAATTAACCCTTTTTGTTTGTTTTTGTTTTGGGGGTCATACCTGGTGAAACTCAAGGCTTATTTCTGCCTCTGTGCTTAAGGATCACTCCTGGAGGCACTAAGGACCATAGATAGAACCCTCTCTCAGTTAGGGAGAAATTGTCTTGGGTGATTTCGACTTAAAAAAAAAAATTCTCTGGGGCTGGAGAGATAGCACAGCGGGTAGGGCGTTTGCCTTGCATGCAGCCGACCCAGGTTCGATTCCCAGCATCCCATATGGTCCCCTGAGCACTGCCAGGAGTGATTTCTGAGTGCAGAGCCAGGAGTAACCCCTGTGCAACGCCGGTTGTGACCCAAAAAGCAAAAAAAAAAAAAAAAAATTCTCTTTAGGGACCAGAGAGGTTATACAGTTAGTAGGGTGCTTGTCTTGTGTTTGCCCCACCCAGATTCAATCCTCAGCATCCCATGTGGTCTCCCAAGCCCCACCAGAAGTGATCCCTGAGCACAAAGCCAGGAGTAAATCTTGAGCACCACCAGGTATAACTCCAAATCAAAAACCTAAGCCAGAGACCACTCCCAGCTATGCTCAACCTAGCAGAATCGACGTAATAGCTCAGTGCTGCCAGTTGCAAAGCCTACGCTCCAACCCTCAGACTTCTCCCTAGTCACTGGCTAGGCCAACCTTGGTTCTCTTAACATTGTGGACTAAACAGTTCCCTCTTTGTGAAGTCCGCCCTCTACATTGTTGAATGTGTCTTTTGCCAGTGACATTCCTCTAGTTTGTGATCATCAAAAGTACTTATATACCAGTGGTTTTCAACCTTTTTATACCAGTGACTTGGCAGTGAAAACTCACAGTTCTATATATTTGCTAATGCCCTAGTTGACAAAATAAATCACATTTGAGAAGCCGGAGAGACACAACAGCAGAAAGTATGCTATCCTTGCATGTGGCTGACCTGGGTTTGATCCCTGGAACCTCATAGGGTTTCCCCAAGCCTCACCAGGAGTGGTTACTGAGCACCGCTGAGTGTGCCCCCACTCCCTGTCCAAAACACTGATCCTGTTTGAGAACCACTATCTTTGTAAGAAAAGCCTTATCATTAGAATCTCTAAGGCCTGATCACTCTAATGGCAGATATACAACTTATCTTGGCAGTTGTGTTGGTCATAGACTGTAACAGTGCAAAGGAATGTCTGGTTCTTTTTAGCCTCTGAAAATTAAAACTGGAACAAACTAGATATACTTGATTAAAATGTGAGTTCTAGGCATTTTTCATCTGCATGTGTTGTGAGTATAAGAAGATGGAAGACCGAAGATAGAGTTCAGGAGGTAAGGCACTTGTACACAGCCAACCCCAAAGCAGTCTGTGACACAACACATGATCCTCTCAGGTAGCACATTTGAGTGATCCCTGAGCAGTCAGTAGTAGACTCTGAGCACGGAAGGTATGGACCCATAAAAGCCCTCCAAAATTGAAAATGAAAGATGCACATTTGAGATCAGAGCAATAGTATAGACGGCAGTGCTTGCCTTGCACTCAGTTATCCCAAGATCCATCCTCAGCACACCACATAGTACTGCCTGAAGGAAGTCCTGAGTGCAGAGTCATGAGTAAGCCCTGAGCACTGCCAGTTGTGGCCCCAAAATAAAAAAAGTACGTACATAAGATAAAGGTATCACCTGGTATTTGTGCATTTCGATATATCACAGTTCCTAATGAGATTAAGTCTTGACTCTTGGAAATGGATATCATACCTATATTTTACATCTTCCTAACATGTGTGTTTGTACTGATACATAGAGAAAAAGTCTGTAAAATGAAAATGTTTATCATAATTTTTAGAAATATTCTCCAGTCAGAACGTGAGAAATTAATTACATACTGCCTTGAGTGGGACAAGAAGCTTCAACTGGATATTCCAGATGATGGTGAGGAAATAATTCTTAAATCTTTTGTTTGTTTTTAATATGGTTAAATTTGTGTGAATTATAAAATTTGATACTATACTGGAAGCCTGGGCCATGTGCACTCAGGAAGAGCTGAGAGGCAGGAGAGCTCATCCCCACCCCGGCTCCTTCCTCTTAGCCTTGGGTCATGGTCACACCCGGCGATGCACAGGGGTTACTCCTGGCTCTGCCACAAGCTGCTGGGCTCTGGATTAAGTCCTTTTGTCTCTGGAGCCATGGCTGTGCCGGAGAGCCGCTCATGGGGGGGGGCAACTTGTGACCTCGGTAGGGAGTGAAGGACTAGCCGGCACTGCCCCCCTTCCCATGAGACTGCAGTTGCCCCATCACCGCTGGCTCATACCTGGCTTTCCAATAAGCTTCGAGGTGGCGGCCACCTTATATGCGGTCCAGATGCATTTCTGCCCAAAGCCTCTGGATTTCGAGATTTGTTTCTGACTCTCTGGGATCATGACCTTTAAGCAGCTTGATCAGGAGCCAGAGAGGCCACTTGTAGGCAGCAACTCAGGGTCTCACTGGGATGGGGAGGAAAGCGCCACTTCTACCCCTATCTGGTTAGGCCCTGCGTGTCTCGTTACTGCAGGCCCAAACCTGATTGCAGAGTGGCCTCTGCAGGATGGTGGTCACTGGGCCGCCAAGGGGAACAGACCAAGGCACAAAACCTATTCTCACCTGCAGTGGCCCAGCGCCAGTAACCTGTTGCAGGAACAGATCACACTTTTGCCAAAAGCCTTTGGGTTCCGAGATTTGTTTCTGAGTCTCTGGGATCATGGCCATTAAGCAGTTTGATCAGGAACCAGAGAGGCCATGCCTTCACTTATATAGCTGAGCCCGAGGTGGTTTGTGGGTGTGTCTCCCACATATCTAACTTTTGGCTATTTACTTTCTTGGTAAACTTTGCCCCAAGTTTTTGGTGTCTGGTCAAAGGCACAGCAGCAATTTTGGGATATCTGAAAGTCTGATGGTGTCATCAGGCTGCTGACCCACTCGCCTCATAGGTACAGATTGACCTGCTGGTGTCACCATACCCCCAGAGATTTTGTTTGTTTGTTTTTACTTTATTTGTGACATCTAGATCTGGTATTTAATTTTACAAAGTAGTTTCTGAATGAAAATTACCTTAATGTGGGAGATTTTCTGAAAATTTCTCAATTTTGGAAAAGTTGTGAAAAAATAATTTTTGTGCTTCAGATGCAATGAGTTGTTTGAGGGTGATTTACTCAAGGAGAGGCAAAATGTCACTTGTATAAGCAATTAGTATGACAATTAATATTGCTAATTTTTAGCAGGAATTAAGCAGATGCCTAGTATTTGTGTGCGGAATTTTTATAGTAGATATTTTTTCTTTTGGTTTAGGGTAAGAATGTGATTCTATAAATACTAGGGCACCGGGAAAGGTCTTACCTAGAAGTTGGCTTGAAAAAAAAGATCTTTGTCCTTTAAATTTAAAAAAAAATAAAATAACCTTTTATTTCCTTAGTTAAAGATCTTATTCATCTAGCAGTTGGTCAGACAAGACTTCTTATGAAAGAAAGGTTCAAACAGTTTGAAGGACTGGTGGACAATTGTGAATATAAACTTGGTGAAAAGGAGACAACTTGTACAGATCTGGATGGATTTTGGGATATGATTAATTTTCAGGTATGTGGTCAAGTATTTTGAGTGTATTACCTTTTGTTGTACCTGACAGCGCTCGGGAATAACACCCAGCTCTGTGCTTGGGCCACTGTGGTGCCAGGCATTGAACATAGGCCTCCTGTATGCAAAGCATGCACTCTACCTATTGAGTTATCTCCCTGGCCCATATGTATGTTAACTTTTGAGTGTTATTGCTTGTTTTTTAATGAGATTACAGTAAAATGGATATGGTAGTTGCTTGAGTACTTGTAATATTAAATGAAATATTAGACTATGCCCATATAAACTGTAAAACACTCTCCAAACTCATTATCTTCCTCACCCCCATTGTCAGAATAACTTCTACGTAGGTTGGAAATTGAGATGATGATGTTGAATATTCTATAATGATTCTATAGATTCTATATGTGAGATGAATAAATCTAGACTTTAGCAGTTCAAATTCATCAGCAGGGGCTGGAGCTATAGCATTGCCTTGCATGCGACCATCCCAGGTTTGATCCCCAGCATCCATATGGTCCCCTGAGCACTGCCAGGAGTAATTCTTGAGTGCAGAGTCATGAGTAATCCCTGTACATTGCCGGGTGTGACCCCTCCCCCCAAAAAACCAAGTTTATCTAGTAGGATTTTGTGTGTGTGTGTGTGTGTGTGTGTGTGCGCGCGCACGCGCGCGTGTGCGCGCAGATGCTCTTCTGTCAGATTGTAGCCCCTGCCCCATCTAGCAGTTGTTGCTTTCTGCTGTGTGGCGGGCATTATACAAGAAGCCCATAAGTAAGGCACATTCTCTCTCTCCCAGAAAAATTAGTATTTTTTACTAATGAGTCAGATACAACATGTGGATTCCAATTGAATGTCCCAAGTCTGCCATAGAGGGAACCACACACACACAATGACAATGTAGTATCACTACGCACTTAACAATGGCAGAATTTCAGAGTATACAGTACCAAATGCCATTGAGTATGTGGAGCAACAAGAACTGGAGTTGGTAAAAACGTACAATGGCACATGCATACTGGAAGACCATTTGGCACTTTCTTACAAAATTAAGCTTACTCTTGTCATTCACTCCATCTCTCCTGCTTCCTGATATTTTCTCAGTTGAAAATTTAGCCATATAAAAACATGTATACACAGGCTAAAATGATAGCACAAGCCTTGCACACAGCTGGTCCGGGCTTGATCCCCTGTACCTTATATGGTTTGAGCCCACCAGCCATGATCACTGAGTGCAGAGCCCAGCCCTGAGCCCAGCCAGGTGTGCCCCCAATCATGTATACTGTCCTCCTGTTGTTCATCGATTTGCTCGAGCGGGCCCAGTAATGTCTCCATTGGAGACCTTGTTGTTACTGTGTTTGTCATATCGAATACATCACGGGTAGCTTGCCAGGCTCTGCCGTGCGGGCAAGATACTCTCAGTAGCTTGCCGGGCTCTCCGAGAGGGGCGGAGCAATCGAACTCGGGTCGGCCATGTTGGCTGCGTGCAAGGCAAACGCCCCACCACTGTGCTATCGCTCCAGCCCAAATCATGCATAAAAAATGTTTATAGAAGCTTTTTTCATAGTTTCCCAAACCTAAAAGCAACTGATGTTTTTCAGAAAGGGAGTAGATAACTACTACTGGGGGAGGTAGGGGGGAAGGGGGAGGAGTTAAAAAAAAGGGAATGAGAGATTGTATTCATTTTTTCATTTTGGGTGCCACAGCCACTGGTGCTTAGGACTTAATCCTGGCTCTGCTCAGGTGTGCTTGGGGGATCAAATATGGTGTCGGGTTGAACCTGGGTCGGCCATGTACAAGGTGAGTGCCCTTCCTGCTGTACTATCTCTCTGGTCCAAATAGTTTGTAATTTCAATATGATTAGCATTACTCTGTAAACATATGCTTTACTTATTAACAGATAGTTGATGTAAAACAAAAATTCAACAACCTGACCAAACTTGAGCAAAATGGATGGCAAAACAACAAGACAAGCAAAAAACTCTTACGGGTAAGTTTGTGGGTTTTACACCTAATTCTGATATAGACCCTTCTGTGAGCTTCCAAAAGAGAAGCGTGAGTGCGCGAGGGACTCAAACGTTCAGTCGCCAAGAGCCATTCCTCTGGCTGGCCCACAGCAGTGGACAGACGGAGGACCAGGGAATGGAGAAATAGGGCCCCACGCTGGTTGGAAGTCAGTTTATTTCTCTCTCCTCCCCAGTGTAGTTCGATCTCTCCCTTACAGCACAATCATAGTCATAATTTTGGTCATAAACCCAGTCATCATAGTTCCCTCATCCTCGTCCTCCTAGTCTTCATATATTCCTTATCTTCCTGGTCCCCTCTTTTCCTCTTACAGCATAGTTATATAGAAATCATGAAGGGTACGGTACCCCTTCATGTGGGGCTGAACATTGTATAACAACAAAGAGATGTAAAGTCCCTCCTTCAGGGGAAGTTCTAGATTAACTCAAGGACAACATCTCATCTGCGGGTTTGGCACTCTAGATTACTAGGAGATCCGCTCAAGGGTGGGATTCCATCTAGGATGTATTGCTTTCTCCTTTCCTCAGCTAGTAATCCATTTAAACAATCATAGTGAATTTACTTCTTATAATATTACTAAGCTGGAGTGATAGCATAGGGGTAGGGTGTTTGCCTTGCTTGCAGCTGACTCAGGTTCGATTTCTCCATGCCTCCCAGAGAGCCCAGTAAGCTACCGAGAGTAACCCACCCTCATGGCAGAGCCTGGCAAGTTCCCCATGGCGTACTTGATATGCCAAAAACAGTAACAACAAGTCTCACAATGGAGACATTACTGGTGCCCGCTTGAGCAAATTGATGAACAATGGGAGGACAGTGCTACAGAGCTATTACTAGTCATTTTGTAAGAACACAGAGATATACTAAAGTTCGGCTCTTCCTGGGGATATCTCACTATATATTCCAGACCACAGTTCTCAGGCCAGGTTAGTCTTTCCTAACCCCAACAGGGTCCTCAGTTCTTTTTGGGTCATGACAGTTTGTTCCATGACCATGCTCTTATACTTATGGTGCTCAGCTTGTCCCTTTCTGATGCCAGGGTAGCTAACAGCTTGTCCTGGGTACATCCAGTCTCTTCGTCAGAATCCTCCTTTTTGGGAGTGTTAGGAAGTAAGGGCAACTGAGGTTTAAGTCAGGTAAATATGATGGATGCCCGGGAGTAAATATTATTTGAAGTCAATTAACTCCCATGTTACAAAAGCATAGCATCAACTGTCTTCCTGTGTCTATACAAAAAGGACATTGCTAAATAAGTCATGCCAATGACATAAGGGAAAGAGAAAAACAATATAGGATTATTAGTGCTTGATGGAATTGGGTGTGCCTCAGGGGCACTGTTGTGGGAGTAACTCAATAAACCTAAGCTCCCTGCGGGAGGAGCAAGGACAACCCAATGTTACCCAACACTCCTCTACTTTATCTCATTTCTTTTAATTCAGCTTCATAATTTTTCATATTTTACAAAGTTTCGTGTATTACTTATAATGCCCTGGTTACTTCTGAAGGAAGAATAAGAAAATGATCAACACAAAATTCAGGATGGTTATTTTTTGAGGAAGGTAAGGAACTGTGGTTGAATAGTTCAGTCATAGTTGAACCCTAGAGGACTTCATTTTTAGCTTTAGAACACCTAGTGGTTCTCAGGGGTTACTCCTAGCTCTACACTCAGGAATCACTTGTGGCAAGCTCATGGTACATATGGGATGCCAAGGATCTAATCTGGGTCAGCCATGTGCAAGGCATGTACCCTGCCCGCTGTACTATCTCTGGCCCCTGTGCATGTTTTTTCATTATTATTTAATTGAATATCTGTGAGATAGACTGTTCATGATTAGGTTTCAGTCACACAATGATCCAACACCCATCCCTCCATTGGTGTACCATTTCCCACCACCAATGTCCCTAGTTTTCCTCCCACCATCCGTCAGCACCACCTCGCCCAACCAGCTTTCCTCTATGGCAGGCACCCCTCCTCCCTCTCTCTCTCCTTTTGTGCATTATGGTTTGCAATGCAAGTACTAAGAGGTCATCATGTTTGTTCAGGGCGTTCAGTATTTTTATTGGGAAGGTAAGGCTGGAGTAGTTTTTTTTTTTTAACTGGGTAGCAGCTTTGGGGTTTAGATGTGACTGCTAAGGCTTCCAGAAATATAGGACGGTGGTAAGATGGGAAGATAGCCCATCCCGACCCCAAAAAATGCCTGCGAGATTTCAGTCACAAAATCCACATACCTGAATTTTCAGGAGATGATGTCTTGGTGAGGTTTGCTTGAGATGAGTCCATTCAGACTCATGGCCGTGATTTTGGAAGTAAGCGGATGCTGAGGCCTCTGCTTGGATGGGCACCAGGCTGACCCAATCCTCCTCCAATTTACCCTAGTGTGTTGAGTTTTGCACGGGTCTGAATTAACTAGTTTTTGATCTCTTTTGAGATTTATTTATGGGTCTCTGAAGCAAGGCCAGTAGAAGAGCTAACATGGTGGCGCCGAAGTTGGTTCGTGGGGGGTGACTGCCAGTGCTTTCGGGAGTATTGGGAAGTGGAGGTGGCAGCCCTTTCTGACCCCGAAAAAGCCTGGAGATTATAGTCACAAAACCTGCATAACCAAATTTTCAGCAGATTATATCTCTGTCCCAAGTCTGTCCCAAGATGGTGGAATCCAGCCAGAGTCGTGGAGGTGATTTTGGATTGTGGGAGCAAGCGACTGCCAGGGGCTCTGGGCAGGCACCAGGCTGACCCCTCACCCTAACCCCCTCCAATTTACTCTAGTCCTTTCAGCCTCGAGTGAGTCCAAGGTTAACTTTTGAGATTTATTTATGGGTCTTTGAAGCAAGGCCAATAAATAAGCTTGTATAGCTGAGCCAGAGGTGGTTTGTGGATGTGACTCCCACATACCTAACTTTTGGCCATTTAATTTCTTGGGAAACTTAGTCTCAAGTTGTTGGGGTCTGGCCAGAGGCACAGTGGCAATTTTGGGGTATCAGAAAGTCTGAAGGCACCATCAAGCTGCTGATGCACTGGCTCTGCAGGTACCGGTTGACCTGCTGGTAGTACCCTCCCCGCACCCACACCTCATGTATGTTTGCTTTATTCTTTAAACTGTGCCTATGCATGTCATTGTAGTAGTAGAAGCAAATAATCTGTATTATGCTTAGTATGTGCCATATTCCACATACCCTGCGTGTATGACTATGTTAATCTTCACAACAGTTCTGTGAAGTTGTCATGTTTCCCCCTGCCCTTTGGATTTTTTTTTTTTTAATCTTTTTTGGGTCATACCCGGCGGTGCTCAGGGGTTGCATTCAGTATTGGCTCTGCGTTCAGTATTTACTCCTGGTGGTGCTTGGGGGACCATATGGGATGCTGGGGATTGAACCGGGTTGGCCATGCGGAAGGCAAATGCCCTACCTGCTGTACTATCGCTCCAGCCCCCCTTGCCCTTTGTTTTTTCCTGTTTTTGTTTAGTTTTTTGCTCCTGGTCGTCTTTAGGGGACTTTATGGAGTTTTTGGCGATTGAACCCGAGTTGGCCTCGTGCAAGCAGGTGTCCTGCCCACTATCTTTCCCTCCAGCCACTCCTCCCCCTCTGTTAGCAGTTTTGTTTCCCCCATAGAGGGCACTCCTTGTGGTGCAAGGATTGTGCCAGAAGTGCCAGGAATTAATTTGGGGACTCAGCAGACTCTACAGTTCTCTACCTCTTGAGCTGTTATCCTAACCCCTTATTTTTTAGCAGTGTTTGAACTATTATTTCTGTTTTACAGTTGAGGAATCCAAGGCACCCAAAACATCAAATCATAGCCCAACAGAGAGCTGATTTCAAGCTAGACTGTCTCATTCCAGAATTCATGTTTATACTTTTCTGTATGATCTGGTTTTGTTTGGGGGCCACACTTAGCAATGATCAGGACTTATTCCTGCCTCTGTGCTCAGAGATCACTCCTGGCAGTGCTTGGGGGATCATATGGGATGCCACAGATCTAACCTGGCTAGGTCACATGCAAGGTACAGCCTTACCCTCCGTATCATCTCTCCAGCCCCTATGTGGTATGTTTAAAAATACATTTCTTTTTAATTAAGACACCATGATTTACAAAGCTGTGCATAATAGAATTGTTTCAGGCATACGGTGTTGCAACAATGATCTCACCACCAGTGTCCTAGGGGTCCCTGCCATCCACCTCCCTGCCCTCTTGCCAGGCATATAACAAATTTATTTCATATTTCTTGCTCCAACAAATCTTAAAGAAATGGAAAATGGAATTATTAGAAGATAAACCAAAAGTCAATTTGTAGTAATTAATTGCTATATGATTTCAACCTATATAAATAAGGAAATTCAAATCATTTAATACAATATAGTATACTGCCTATTCTCATAACTAACTCTTAAACTCTGGCATCTAAAACATATTAAATTTTATTTTGTGCATGACCTTGATTGAGGTAATCATCATATCCTCCCTGTCATAAATGAGACTTCTTCCCCTCCACCCCTTGGCAAGCATATAACAAATTCATTTCATATTACTTGGTTCAAAAAAACTTTATTAAAAGAATAGCAAGTAGAATTATTAGAAAGAAAATCAATAAAAGTCAATTTGTGATGACGAGTTACTGTATGTTACCAACCTTTTTTAATCTAGTGAGGACAGCCATATGCACCATGAATGAGTGCCATACTCAGCGCCACATGATGGAAAGTTTCTGCTGTCCTTTAAAGGAGCTCTTTTAGTACTTGTTGAAAAATTAGCTTCAAGGCTATGAATTTCCGGAGCTGTTGCTTATCCCTGAAGCTCTGTATAGTTCAGATGAGTGATAATCTTTTTTTTTTTGAATCACCATGAGCTACACTTACAGAGCTTTCAGTGTTTGAGTTTCAGTCATACAGTGATCGAACACCCATTCCTCCACCAGTGCACATTCTCCACCACCAATGTCCCCAGTATCCCTCCTCGCTGCCCCCTTGCCCCATCCCACCCCTCCCCCCGCCTCTATGGTAGACAATGTCCCTTTTACTCTCTACTTATGGGCATTAGGATTTTCAGTACAGATAATGTGAGACTATTATGCAATATCGAAAATGAGAGACCATTATGTTTGGTTCTTTATCTATTTTCAGCACACATATCCCATCCGGAATGATTCTTCCAACCATCGTTGACTTAGTGATCCCTTCTCTATCCCACCTGCCTTCTCCCCCAACTCAGAAAGCAGGCTTCCAACTGTAGAGCAATCTTCCTGACACTTGTCTCTACTGTCCTTAATGTCAGTCTTATATTATGATATTTTATGTTCCACAAATGAGTATAATCATTTTATGTCTGTCCCTCTCTTTTTCACTCATTTCAATTAGCATGATACTCTCCATGACCATCCACTTACAACAAATTTCATGACTTCATCTTTCCTAACAGCTGCATTGTATTCAATTGTGTAGATATACCAAAGTTTCTTTAACTAGTCATCTGTTCTCGGACACAGGTTTTTTCCATGTTCTAACTATTGTGAACAGTGCTGCAATAAACATACAAGTGCAGATGTCATTTCTACTGTTTTTTTTTTTTTTTACATGTCCAGGATATATTCCCAGAAGTGGTATTGCTGGGTCATATGGGAGCTCAATTTCTATTTTTTTGGAGGAATGTTCATATTATTTCCCAAAAAGGCTGGACCAGTCGGCATTCCCACCAACAATGAATGAGAGTCCCTTTCTGCATCCATGCCAGCACTGGTTATTCTTGTTCTTTTTGATATGTGCCAGTTTCTGTGGTGTAAGATGATACTTCGTTGTTTTGATTTATCTCTTCCTCCTGATTAGCAATGTGGAGCACTTATTCATGTGCCTTTTGACCATCTGAATTTCTTTTTTTGAGGAAGTTTCTGTTCATTTCTTCTCCCCATTTTTTGATGGGGGTGGAGGATTTTTTCTTAAAAACATCTACCAGTGTCTTGTATACCTTGGATATTAAGCCCCTACCTGATGGATATTGGGTAAATAATTTTTCCCATTCCATGGACTCTTTCTGTATTTTGGTCACTGTTTCTTTTGAGGTAAAGAAACTTCTTAGTTTATTGTAGTCCCATTTGTTTATATTTGTTTCGAGTGGTACATTTTTGAGTGAAATTTTTTTTTTCAGAGTGGGTGCATACCTGGCAGTGCTTAGGATTTATTTCCAGCTCTGAGTTTGGGATCACCCCCAGCAGGGAACAATATAGGGTGCCAGGGATTGAACACAGGTCAGCTGCATGCAAGGCAAATGCCCTACCTGCTGTACTGTTTATTGCTCTGGCCCCAGTGAAATAATTTTTTCATGGAAAGAGGAAAAATGCTCTTCTTTACTATAATCTGTCTTCCTTACTCCTTGATATTTTTGTAAAATTAGCTTGGCTGACATGATAGAGTCTACTCTTTTTGGGAACATGGAGGGCACATTGGGGGCAACACCTGGCAGTATTAGGAATCACTCCTGGCAGTGCTAGGGATCACTCCTTGCAGTGCTTGATCTCACACTACACTTTTCCATGAACTTCTTTGTATATTTTTATATATAGTAATGTTTTGGATTCAAGGTTTCTGATTCAGACGGAGAGTTCTCAAACCACCATGTACACTGCTACTTTTTCTTTTTAGAAAAATACCTGTGATTATTCCAGATTATAGCCAGAGGGTTGTACTTTGTTGTGCTGTGTAATCTAAGTAGAAACTGTATAGATGCTAGCACAGGGGGTAGGGTGTTTGCCTTCCACGTGACCAAACTGAGTTCGATTCCCAGCATTCCATATGGTCCCCTGAGCACTGCCAGGGGTAATTCCTGAGTGCACGTGCCGGGAGTATCCCCTGTGTATCACCAGGTGTGACCCAAAAAGCAAAAAAGAAAAAAAAAAAATTGGAGTACTAAAAGAATGTTATAATGATTGTTTTACTAATTAAGTTGCATGACAGAAACCTTGAGGACATTGACAAAAATTGAATTTCAATTCTAAACAGTGAAGGCTACTTGATTGTTTTGAAATTCCTGTGGGTATTGCTTATGGTACTGGTCCTAGAAACATTATAACGTCAGTGACTCATATCACATAGGAGCCTTGTAATTCTGCCCTTTCTCACCAGGTGTCTCTCTCTCCTCATTTTAGCACCCACTGTTAAGATTCTAGAGCCAGTGAGACAAATCATTGATTTCCTCAACCTCGTTTTCTATCACCACCGCTCTTTTCTATTCAGTGTTTAGACGTTTGTTTGTTTGCTTGCTTGCTTGCTTGCTTTTTGGGTCACACCTGGCAATGCACAGGGCTCTGCACTCAGAAATTACTCCTGGAGGTACTCAGGGGACCATATGGGATGCTGGGAATTGAACCCTGGTCGGCGGCGTGCAAGGCAAACACCCTACCTACTATGCTATCGCACCAGCCCCTAGACATGTTTAAAGGTCCTCATTTAAAAGAAAATGTCTGTGATGTAATAGATTAAATATTTAGAACATTATATATGTAAAATGAATTATGAATTTTAAAAAAACTCTTCCAGCTCTAGTTATCTGTACCGCCTGATCCCATCTTTTTCATTCCAAGTTTCAAGCTTCCTGAAAAGGTTGCAAAATTCCATCGTTTTATTTGGTTTCTCCAACTCATTGCAGCGTGGCCTCATCCCTCGCTATACCTGTGAAACTGTGACCACTCAGGATTTGATCCACCAGTTGTTGAAGCCAATTAAGGATTTAATTATAAGATGTAATTCACTGCAGTATTAAGTGGGATCTATTTCTTTTTCTTTTTTCTTTTCTTTTTTTTTTTTTTTTGGCTTTTTGGGTCACAACCGCGATGCACAGGGGTTACTCCTGGCTTTGCACTCAGGAATCACTCCTGGCGGTGCTCAGGGGACCATATGGGATGCTGGGAATCGAACCCAGGTTGGCCTTGTGCAAGGCAAATGCCCTAACTGCTGTGCTATCACTCCAGCCCCCTCTAGTCCTTTTTCTTGATATTGTATTCTACCAATTTTCTTCCTATCTCCGTGCCTTTATCTTTGGTAACATTTTCAAGTTTACTTTTCTATTTACTCCTTTGCTGTTCAGAATGTTCAGAATTCGTCTCTCAGTTCTCTCTCTTTCCATCTTCCCATGCAGTCTTAACCTGCAATGATTCCCAAATTTGTATTTCAAACCACACTGCTCAGTCCCATATATCCTGACTCACTATCCTTTAAAATCAACATATCCCAAACTGAAATCATCATTTTCACACATCAGTGTTCCTTCAGATGTCTATGATAGCCCATAACTTGCTTTTTCAATTGTGAAACTATGAGTTCTTTTGAGGGCAGAAACTTACTTTGTCCTTTATACTTTTACCACCAGCATTTTTCTTGCAGTTTAGGAGCTGAACAAATGTCTTGTACATATTTTATGTCTACATACATTTCATGTATGCTTTTCTTAGTAATAAGTAACTTTCATAAATGTCATAATTTCTCTTTGCAGAAGAAGGTTGTCTCAAGTTTAGCAAGTCAACCCAAACAGGACGACAGTGCAAGAATTGCTGCTAGAAATCGCCTAGCTGCCATAAAAAATGCAATGAGAGAGAAAATCAAGCAGGAAGAACGTGCTGGGATGGCAAACTCTGTAATGCCAAAGGAAGTGGATAAAATAGTGTTTGATGCTGGGTTTTTCAGAGTGGAAAGTCCTGTTAAATCATTCTCAGGTCAGTTTTTCTGCTGACACTACTTATGAGAACTGTTTGGGTTTGATGAGCATATATAAGAGGTGAAAAAGTCTTTTCACAAGAAGAGACGTAAGCTTTCTCTGGCTCTTGGGAATTAAGTACACATGCTGGCTCACACACACGTGCAGATTGCATTTTACTAAGTCTGATGAGATTACCTTGTAAGATCGAGCTTCTAGAATTAGTTTATATGTCCCTTAGAGATTCTACATGTGTTATTGCTACTCTGCAATGTGAGATAGGCCTTAGGATTGCAGGGGTTTAAGGGATTTAACCTTGTTCACGGAAGAATAAGAAATTAGGTGGTTTTCCTTTAGCTTAGTTAGAAGTTTAATTAGAAGCAAAGGAAGAATCACAGGGCTCAGATATGACTCAGAAGTCGAGCACCTTTGCGAGGCCCTGGAGTGAAATCCTGCTATTGCAAGAATGGAAAGGCACAAAGGAATCAGCTATCAAACCACCCCACCTCTCCAGACATGAAACTTAGGGAAGCTGAGGTGTTTTGTTTTCACCTACATTAAAAATTCTGCTCAGGTCTTTTTAAATTGAGTAAATCTCCTAACTTTAAAATACTCAGTATAACTAGTTGGCAGGACACTTGTCTTGCACAGGGCCAACCCAGATTCAATCCCCAGCACCCTTTATAGCATCCTGAGCCCTGCCAAGAGTGATCCCTGAGCACTGTCCCAAATTTTAAAAAATAAGGTGCTTGAAGCAATAGCACAGTGGGTAGGGCATGTGCCTTGTACACGGCAAACCCGGGTTCAATTCCCAGCATCCCATATGGTCCCTCGAGTACCACCAGGAGTGGTTCCTGAGTGCAGAGCCAGGAATAACCCCTGAGCATCGCCAGGTGTGACCCATAAAGCAAAAAATAAATAAATAAAAACCAAAATTTAAAAAATAAAAAGGAGTTAATTAAATATTCAACACCTCACCCCTTTTTTTTAAAAAAAAAAGAAAAAAGAATGATGATTTTACTTAGAAATTTTAAGGAAGGGAGAGTGGGGGGAGAGAGGGAGAGAAAGTTCATAAACTCAAGAGAGAACGTGGGCTTCTCCAGAGTTGAGAAGGAGCCCTGGTACACATCCCAGCATTAGATATGAAAGTGTGAAAGTATACATCTCAAGAGGAGAAATGCAGGCAACACATATGCTCGATACCACATGCACTTGGCAGCAACATGTGGGCACACCAGCACATTGACTGGGACAGCATGTGCACCACATACCCACTTTTTATATACTTCGGGAAACAATTGTTAGAATTTTGTAACTTGTATTTTTTTTACTTGACAATTTTTCATAGACTAATAGAAAAAAGGCTTGATCCAGATTGAAATATAGGTGATTTTCTGATATAGGTAATTTTCTGCTTATGAGGGGGGGAGGGGGGCTCCTGCTTAGCGACCTTTGCCTTTGTAGCAGTCTGCTTTTTAATATGATTTGTTGCTGGTAGAGCGATAGAGAGAGAGAGAGAGAGCAGAGTTTCATATGTATCTTTCCTATGTATAGTCTTTAACTGAAAGTCCCAGACATGGTTTTTAACTAATATTATTTTACAGGAGAATGAGGCTAGTTAGTAGGAAAAGAAAGAACTTGCCCTGTCTTCTAGTTATGATGAAAAACAAATGAAAGAACTTTTGAATATTGACGTTTCATAATCTTCTAGGGCTTTCTATCTCTTCTGAACCTCTTTCTCAAAAAAGTCAAACACCGAATTCTGCCAGCAAAGTTGTGTCTGAAAACAGGACTGGGGTTGATCTTCCAAGACAAATGACACCACTAGCAATTTCTCATCCAGGTGAGGTCTTTAATTTTACTAGGGGGTAGAGTTGGGGTGGGTTCACACACAGTGGTGCTCAAGGGGTTTTTCTGGCTCTGTGCTCAAGAATGACCCCTGCAGTGCTCAGGGGATCATATGTAGCGCGAGGAATTGAACCTGGTCATCTTCATGCAAGGCAAGTGCCTTAATCCCTCCCTATACTATCTCTAGCCCACATGAGGTCTTTTTAATATAGTTAAAAAAAAACTGTGCTAAATAAATTAAGGCTTATGTTTTACTGGATGATTGGTTTTAATAAGGAAGGGCCAGTCTTAGCAGCATTATTGACTTCCAAGGGACCCCTGGTAGTGATCTGGCTAGCCATGCTCAGGCCATGAGGGTCACAGCCAGTGTGGGAGGGAGACATGCCCTGCTGAGAATGGACCCCCAGACTGCACATGCCAGGCTGTGTTCTGCCATTTGAACTGTCTTCTTGGCCCTGAAGACTTCAGTTTGTTTTATTTAATTGTATTTATTTTTAGCCACACTCAATTATTTATTTTTAGCCACACTCAATGATATTCCTGGCCCTGTGCTCAGAATCATTTCTAGAGGTTCTTGTGGACCATAGATGGTGCTCGCCATGTATGAGGCAAGTGCCCTACTCACTGAAAGATTGCTCCAGCCTCCTTGAAGACACTTTTTATGTTCTGTTTTGTTTTGTTCTGGGACCACATCTGGGAGTGTCCAGGACTTTCTCTTCGGATCTGTGCTCAAGGATCACTCCTAGTGGGTTTGGGTGAGCATATGAGGTGCTAGGGATTAAACCTGGATTGGCAGCATGCAAGGCAAGCACCCTACCCACTACTATCATGCCCTCTCCTGCAGACTATACTGAAATTATGGGTGATAATTTAATTTTAAATGTTATAGCATCCTATGGTCTATATTTTTGTTCCAGGTTTGCTATATAAAACTTGTTTTTCAAGACTTGTCCGTTTCTAGCAACACCGAGAATATTGTTTTTAAAAAGTTAAAAATTATTCTATTGTTTTTCAGTACCATTTTGCAATGAAAGAGTCACCACTGAATGCAACCTTGATTCTGTAAGTTTTGCAGATTTATTTGAGACGTTTATGTTCAGATTTGTTTTATAAAATGAATTATTACTCGTGTCTGTACAGCTTAAAACTTGTATCTTGTCACCTGTTTTTTAAAATCCAAGATCTAGTCGCTATACATTTAACCAAAATTTAATGTTTATAGACTTTATAATATGGCAGGCTTTAATATTGAGGGTAGGGGTAGTGGAACTCTTGGTGGGGCTCAGGGTACTATGCGTTGTGCTAGGAACTGAGTCCAGCTCAACTCTATGGATATAAGTATAGGACAGATGCTTTCCCCCCTGTACTTAAGATGTAGCAAGACCAACGACTCTGGCATACAATCATGCCTTGACATTTTCCGGGACTAGTTGCTAAATAGATCGGGGAATGGCCAGGGTTTTGCTAATCTTTGATCACAGGCTATTAAAAAAATACATTAAAGACATGATCATGAAGCCTGACAAACATTTGGCACCTTCAGGACCTCTTTATTTCTTAGGTGTCATTCTCTTATTTGTTTGTTTTTTAGTTTTGGGGCCACACCTGGCCAGTACTCCGGCCTTACTCCTGGCTCTGCATTCAGGGATCACTCCTGGCAGGCCTAGGTAACCATACAGGGTACCAGGAATGGAACCCAGGTCAGATGCCTGCAAGGCAAAGCACCCTATCTGCTATACTATGGCTCTGGTCCTGTTTCATTATCTTTTAAAGGTGCCTTCTCTGCCTTCCAGCTGCCAGGCTGCCGTGTGTCTCAGAGTAGAATGAAGCATATTACTGACACCCATTTTCTGTGCTTTCTTGGTCTTCCCCTTCTTTAATCCTAGGCTAAGAGTGAAGTCAGGGACTTTGAGCAATTTCTATAAAACTGATCATTCTGTTCCCAGATTTGAATTCTGTATGATTGGTTCTGATGATCTACATCAGACTTAAGAATCAAGAAGCCAGGGTGCTTGCCTTGCATGTCACTTACCTTGCACACTACCTACCCGTGGCAGGTCTCAGGGGCCTGCATATATTGGGCATGTATTCTACCATTGAGCTATCTCCCTGGCCCTGGGGTATTTTGGGGAAGTGGAGGGTGGAGTTGATCTACCAAATAATTACTTCCTGTGGCATTATTTGAACCTGAAGTAGGATCTGAGGGGGAAACAAAAGGGTCCCAGCAGGACCTATCACAAGATATGATAGGCCTATTATATGCCACTAGGTGAATTAGCCATTATAGAGTCTACATGAGTTACTTTAGACATGGTCTCAATTTTATTCATCTTCCATAAGCTGTGGAAATTATATATCATGGAGCGATAGCACAGCGGGTAGGGCGTTCGCCTTATCGCCTTACAAGCGGCCAACATGGCCGACCCGAGTTCGATTCCTCCGCCCCTCTCGGAGAGCCCGGCAAGCTACCGAGAGTATTCGATATGCCAGACACAGTAACAACAAAGTCTCCAATGGAGACGTTACTGGGCCCGCTCGAGCAAATCGACGATCAACGGGAGGGCCTTTACCTTTACCTTTTAAACATTTCTAAGGGTGCATTACTAATTTGCCTTATCAAAAAAGAAAAAAATAAACAAAATGACATCTGTGGCCATGTAGTAGAACCATAATAATTTTGTTGTTCTGTAGGAAAAATGATTCTCTTACTAGCTTATCCCCTGTGAACTTGCAATGTTGAAGACTTGACTCACAAAAGTCTGGGTGTTAGCTTTAATGACATATGTCCTGGAATGTGTTTTTAGCCTCGTCTCAGCTGTGGTAATCCATTCACGCCTGTGGAGAAGAGACACCAGAGAAAGTCCAGATATGTTTCCTTTGGTGGCAACCTGATCACCTTCTCGCCTTTGAGGCCCCTCACTGGAGAACAGTCAGAAGAGTCAAATTAAAAAATAATGAGTCCCAACATTTTTCTTTGTTTTATCAATGCTGTAATATATTCTTAGGTTACTGGCAAGCTGAATGACATGTATTTTTGTATCATTGCTGTCCAGTTCTATAGGTCATCTTGTGCTTTCATAGACATTGTTTATTCATGTTTTGGATGCGGTGTTGTTTCGTGGAAGTGAAGACATTTTATACTTTAGCCATGTAGAATAAAAATGTAGTGTGCCTTACAGCTTATTTAAACGTGTAAAGTTAATGCTAAGTAACATGCTGAGAGCTTATAAACTATCTTTGGTTTAATCAGAATATATTAAATGTTGGTAGAAATATTTGGATCCTTTTATACTGTATTCCTAATTTGAATTCTTAGATGTATTGTTGTTCACATCTAACATTGACTATTAACTATTGTCTATGTAAGGGCATAATACAGTTTCTTTTTCACTTTCCTGGATTCTGGAGTGAGTTTACATGCTGTAATATTGAATAGTTAACTATTAAGAGATTCCCATTAAATCCTAGTCTTTTTTTTTTTTTTTCTATTTTCCCCTTGACCTTCAGCCTTTAAAGGAAATGCCTTTTTCTCTTGAAGAGGATCATATCAGTACTTGCTGTGCTGAGATAGCTTTAATTTTTTTGGTTTTTCCTTTTTGGTGGCGGTTGGTTTGGGCCATACCTGGCAGTGCTATGGGTTTATTCCTGGCTCTGTGTTCAAGGATCATTCCTGGCAAGGTTTAGGGAACGAAGTGGACATGCCAGGGATAGAACCCAAGGCATCATACAAGGCAAGTGCCCTACCCACTGTCCTATCCTTTTGGCCCTAAGTTTGTGTTTCTTAAAGGAGTCTCCCTAGTGGTACTAGTGGTACTTGGGGCCCCGGGAACTGCTTCTTCTAATCCTTACATCTAGTTTGGCGCTTGGACTAGGTGATCAGTGCTGGTGGGGTCTGCAGTGTTAGCATGGAGAGAGCATGTAGTCCAGGGATCAAAAACAGGACCTCAAGAGTTCACTCCGCCCCTTCAAGCTATCTTCCCAGCCCTGAAAGACTTTTTTATAAAACTCGTACTGAACACATTGTTTAAGACAGAGCCATCAGAATAACGGCCCTGAGCAGATTAGTAACCAAAGTTCATATTTAGATCTACTTATTTCTCACAACAAAGGTATCCATCAAACAATGACCTTATGGATGGCCTCCAAAATTTGGAATTATCAAAGACAAAACACACCTACTTTTGTTGCCAGAGAAAGGTGTGTTAACATTGTGGAAGGAAAAGTTTAAGTCCACTTGAACCTGCAGGGATACTTATATGAAGAGGCTTATGCTGGCCTAGAAGAATGTTCCAGAATACCTAGTTTTCCCAAAATATGAGTAGGGGTTTTTTTTGGGGGGGAGGAGGGTGTGTCTTGGCAGGGATGGGGGGAGGGTGTGTTTGTTTGTTGTGGGTGTTTTTGGTTGGGGTTTTCTTAGGTTTCTCATTTGCTTTAGGGCTACACGGCTATGCTTAGGCTCTACAATCTAAGTTGTCCCTTACAACTAGAGTGTTCTTAGTCTTTTTGGACCCTAGCATTACTTGATATTAGGAAAATCTTTTGTTTTATTGTCTTTTGGTCCACATTCAGTGGTGTTCAGGGGTTACTCCTGGAATCCCTCCTGGCAGTGCTCAGGGACCATATGGGTGCTAGGGATCAAACCCAGGTCGGCCACATGCAAAACAAGCACCCTACATGCTGTGCTATCACTCTAGCCCCAGGAAAATCTTTGAAGACACTATAAATGCAAACTTCTTTCACTTGGAAAGAAAATATCTAAGATTGAAGGGGAATTTTCAAAATCAACTGGAAATTTCTGTGTATTGAAGACCTGCCATAAGAAAAATCTCTTTGCAAACAATAGTTATCCAATGGTCATGGTTCTTATTTTACAAAGGAACCAGAGGATGTGAGTAGGTTTGTGTAAACCAAGTTTCCCTCTTTTCTCCAAAGCTTAATTTTTTCACTTATTCATAGCTAGATTCCAAAACCTGAATATTAGGATAAGGAATTCATAAGTTTGAAACAGGCAATTTCTTTTTTCTTTCTTTTCTTTTTTATTGAATCACCATGAGATAGTGAGATAGTTACAAAGCTTTCATGTTTGAGTTTCAGTCATACAATGATCAAACACCCATCCCTCCACGAATGCACATTTTCCATCACCAGTGTCCCCAGTATCCCCTCTGCCCCATCCCACCCCTCCCTTGCCTCTATGGCAGACAATTTCCCCCATACTCTCTCTCTACTTTGGGTCATTATGGTTTGCAATACAGGTACTGAGAGGTTATCACGTTTGGTCCTTTATCTACTTTTAGCATACAGATCCCATCTGGAACTATCCCTCCAACCATCATTGACTTGGTGATCCCTTCTCTATCCCAGCTGCCTTCTTCCCCAGCTCATAAGGCAGACTACCAACCATGGAGCAATATTCCTGGCCCTGTCTCTACTGCCTTTGGGTATCAGTCTCATTTTATATTCCACAAATGAGTGCAATCATTCTGTGTCCCTCTCTGACTCCTTTCACTTAGCATGATACTCTCCAGGGCCATCCACTTATAAGCAAATTTCATGACTTTGTCTTTCCTAATAGCTGCGTAGTATTCCATTGTGTAGATGTACCAAAGTAACAGACCATTTCAGTTGCTGGCAGCCCACCTGTGCTGCCCTCTCAGCTGGAGAGAGCAACTTCACCCAGCCCCACACTCTCCCAGATGGCCAGTATGCACTAATGTGAGGTACTCTGAACCTGACTTCTCAGCTATTTTAACAGATCATCCCAGCTTCAGAACCTGGTGAAGTGGGCTGAGGCATTAATGTTCAACTCCCTCGGCCCAACCCTGTAACTTCTCCCCACAACTATTTATAATAAGAGCACTTGCTTAAATTTCTTATATTCACATCTCTCCTTGGGGGTCCCAACCTGTGACAGTGTTTATAACTATTTTTGAAGTATATTGTAGAAATGATAAAGTCATGTTTTGGTCTCTTGTGAAATGAAGGGGTGCCATCCTAGTTTTGAAATGTTTATTCAATTGCTTCTCAGCCTTTTGACTAAGATCAAGTGTGAAATGTTTATTCATTGTTGGCTTACTATTATTAGTAAAGAGGGGTAGAAAGTCCTGTTAACAAGGTATTCAGCAACAGATGAGTGGATAATGACTATATCCACTCATATACACAATGGTTTGTGATATATATGTGTATATATACACATATGTGAGTGTGTGTGTATAATATATATAATGAAATACCATGCAGCTGCAAGGAATGATGAAATCATGCAATTCGTGCCAACTTGGAAGTAGAGTATATCATGTTAAGTGAAGTGAGTCAGAAGAAGGACAACTACTGGATGATCTCACTTATCTACAGTGTATAGAATAACAGGATGAGGTATCAGACAGGGGAATACCTACATTGCACAGGTCCTTAGATTGTAGAAATAAGGAGGGCAGGGGAAGGAAAGTAGTCAAGGGAAGGAGTAAAAAGAAGTTCGCAGGAGGTAATAGGCAGGGGTCAGTGGCCTCAAGCACACGGTGGTATGGAGGTGTAGTTTATGTATATATATGAGCTGCAGTACCAACAAAAAGGCAAGTATATATCCAAACTGCAACAACCAAACAAAAAAATGTGCTTGTCAAGGAGACAGACTGGGTGGTAAGAGAAAACCTGGGGACACTGGTGGAGGGAAGTTGACACTGGTGGGGTTGGTGTTGGAACACTTTGTGTCTGAAAATGAAGTATAAGTAATGTGAATCAGTGCTTTTCAAAGTCCTGGCTCACCATGCTGCCTGAGGGCCAGTGAGTGGCTCTGACTAAGAGGCCAGGCTCTATGTGTAAGGTGTGTGCTTATTCCTCAGTGCCAGCCCAGTTCTGACACGCTCTGTATCTGGGACCTCTGGCACCCCAGGGATGGTCTTCGGTGTACAGCAGCCGGATATGTGCAAACATGGCTAAAGCATGTGTGACCCTGAGAAGCACTTCAACTCAAGACTGAGCACCTACTAACCCCATCAAAAAATGGGGAGAAGAAATGAACAGAAACTTCCTCAAAAAAGAAATTCAGGGGCTGGAGCGATAGTACAGCGGGTAGGGCATTTGCCTTGCATGCGGCCGACCCAGGTTTGAATCCCAGCATCCCATATGGTCCCCCGAGCACTGCCAGGAGTAATTCCTGAGTGCATGAGCCAGGAGTAACCCCTGTGCAATGCCGGGTGTGACCCAAAAAGCAAAAAAAAAAAAAAACAAAAAACCTATTCTGCTCCATGAATTTGGAGATTTTATTGAAAGGGGGAAAAAAACCTCCAATGGCATAATTTTTTGTTGGTATCAAATACTGGCTTGAAAATAGTGGGGTATAAAGAGATAAAATAGAATTTTAAAGGAATCAAGAAGTAGAATCCCTAACAGTGACTGAGTCCTGCAGAGTAAATCATTGATACGTTTTTCTTCCTGCTTTTCTCATTTCCCAAATATAGTCTGTCTTGTCCCTTTTTCTCCCTATGTTTGAGGGATGGGGATGGAACCAAAGGCCTCACGACACATGTAAGACAAGTGCTCGATCACAGATCCCCAGCCCTTTGGAAGTAAAATTGTTCAAGAAAATGGGAAAATGATTTATTCATCATATCTCCTAGTTTTTATGACAATCTGGAAGACTGACTCACCGCAGGTCATGGTTCTCTTATTTCCCCCACTCCCTTCCCTTTGATGTTTCCGTGGTCAGGGTTGTGTTCTCCGGGTGTTGTGCTCCTTTAGCTGTGGTTTCACACGTGCTGGCCACACTCCTGGCCACCACGCACTGCTAGCACAACAAGACATTGCTGGTGGTGCCCATATCTCAGCCAAGCCACTGGGATCAGACACCAAGTATGTAAGGCCCCAGGTGGGAAACTCAGTCTCACATCTGTAGGGTGGGTGCTGCAGTCTGGGCTATGCCTGACCAACCCCTATGTCTTTCTTTAAAATATTTTAACAAAACTCCCGGAGACCTTAATGTGTTGATACTCTCACATGCTCCCTTTTCCATTATATCCATTGTGGATAAACCATCTCAAATGCCACATCAAGACAGGTAGCTCTTAGAATATTTAGGGACTAGAGAGGTGGTACTGTGGGATGGGCCCTTGCCTTGCTCACAGCTGACCCAAGTTTGATTCCCAGATCCCATATGGTCCCCCAAATCCACCAGGAGTAATCCCTGAGCACTGCTGGTGTGGCCCAAAAGCAAAATAAAAACCAAACAGAATAAGAATATTTATTAAATGGATGATTTATAAGAAAAATCTCAATGGATAAGCATACAATATTTCACTCACAGTGAACATTAAATGTGTAAGTTTTATGTTTTTAAGTATTCACTCCCTTAAGCTTATATCATAGCATGCGAAGCACTGGTGAGGTCAATGTCACCAGAAATGCCCAATTTGTTGATTTCATTGAGGTTTCTCATCCGATGATTGTACTGCAGCAAGTGAGCATCATTGACAGCCACCTTGAAGTGGTCGTTTTCAACCAGTACTTGGATCTGAAATGACATTCACAAAACCGTTAAAAACATCTGAGATGAGCTCAACAGAGCCAACATTTCATTTGATGATTTGTAAACATATTAAAGTCCAGAAAAAGTAAACCAAAAACAAAATTTCCAGATGATTCAAAGACTTAAAAAATAAAATTGGGGGCTGGAACAATAGCACAGCGGGTAGGGCGTTTGCCTTCCACGTGGCCGACCCGAGTTCGATTCCCAGTATCCCATATGGTCCCCCAAGCACCGCCAGGAGTAACACCTGAGCATCGCTGGGTGTGACCCAAAAAGCAAGAGAAATAAAATTGTTAGAAGACTATCCAAATGAAGCCATTAAGAAAAAGATCACTTGTGCCCTAAAATTCCTGAAAATTAAAAGTAGGAATCCACAATTGGAGAAAAAAAAAATTTCCCAAAGATTTAAGAGATGGTCTATGAGCCAGTAAATGCTACAGATGTTGGCAACAGAACCAGTGAAGATTTTGAAACTACAGATAGTTCAATTGGGAGATATTTTGGTGTATTAAAAGTTCAATTAAATGTAAAAGTTTATTCCTAATATGTAGGATTGTCTACTATTCATAGGAGAAAAGCATTTAGTAATGCGCATGAGTGAGAAATTAGGCTTGTGGACTTAGAAAGCGATTTGAAAGCAAATGTAACCAAGGTTTTGGAATTTTAATGATTATAGTGTATTTTATGATTATAGTGTATTACCATTGCCACGGGCAGAGCCTGGCAAGCTACCCATGGCATATTCGATATGCCAAACACAGTAACAAGTCTCACAATGGAGATGTTACTGGGCCCACTCGAACAAATCGATAAACAACGGAAGGACTGTGCTACAGTGTAACAACAATGCTTGAACCAAGAAGAGCAGTAAGGCACAGCAGTACTTGAATGGAACTAGGGAGGGTGCCCTCCTGGCAGATTCTGGCCTGCTGAGCCCAGTCCCTTGGGAAGAGAAGGAGCCATGCTTGTTTGGTGTAGCAGGAAAGCAGATGAAAATTAATTTTAGCTGCACCAAGTTTCCAGAGTAATGAGCTAAATCTTTATAATTCCCTACGAGCAAGTATACACCATCAACATGTAAAATCAGTAGCTTACTTTGAATGGTTTACCACTTTCAAAAGGGAAAGTCGACTGTCTCTCTTCCTTTCCCCAGTTGTTATCCATCTTTGTGTTGCAAACAATGACTCTCCTGTTGTCCTCGTTGAAGCGGGGGTTAAAGTGGAAGGCCACGTCATTCCCTTTCTTGAAATCTAAAGCAATTCTGTTTTAAACCCAAGGCCAGAGTTAATGAAACGATTCGGATCACACAACAGTACTAAGTATCAAACTTCACTTTCTAAAGAGCAGATTATAAAATACAGGACATTTTTCTTAACAAAGTAGAGAACCAGAAAATGAGTTCTAACTGGAAAATCAGCTAGGAGAAGTCAATGCAATAGCATCATTCTGGGCTTTCTCCACCCCCCACTTCCACCCCCTTCCATTTTTTCTGCTCATGAGCCAGTAATGCGTGTTCATTATTAATTTAATAAATGTTATACACTACTTTTCCTCATGCCAAATACAGTAACAACAAGTCTCAAAATGGAGACGTTACTGGGCCTGCTTGAGCAAATCAGTGAACAACGAGAGGACAGCAGTACAGTGCTACTTTTCCTCATAGCTTTTTAATTTTATTTTAAAGGAAAAAAAAGGCAAGATAAATGTGTTAATTTTTTTTTTTTTTTGCCTCCTTATCTTAGGTCACATTCTTTTGGAGAGAATTTGTGGGGAAGAGCTTTTGGGGGCCATCTAGCAGTGCATAGGGAATACTCCTGTCTCTGCAGGAATCAATCCTGGTGGTGCTAAGGGGAATCATGTAGTACCCAGGACTGAACTAGGGCCAGTCTGCAAGGCAAGCACCTTAACCCCTGGATTCTTTCTCTCTGGCCCAAGATGGTAACTTTTGATAGGCACCTAGACAGAAAGTACCCGCTTGGTTTTTAGGGACTGTATGTTTCAGCCATGCGAACATTCCATTACAGAGGCTCTGCCGCTCTCTCATTCAAAGCCTTTTACTGACAGGAAGAACCAACAGAAGGGGTTTCCTGCTTTTCCTCAGTGTCTTCACTAAGTAGAAGTCTGCTGCATTCTGGTTGTGGGGGAAGCATAAGATGTAGAGTGGGGAAACCTTGTTCCATTGGTGGAGACAGATAATGATCTGGAATAATCTCTTACTGTGGTGTTACCAAGATTCTAAATATGTAATTTGAAAAATTCAACATATATAGATCATCCTTTAGTCAAATAGCAATCCATAAATGTGTCAAACTCATCCATTTTGCTCTCACCTGTTTGCATTGGGCTTGACGGTGCCCATAATGGTTATCAGCATGCGAGGCATGACTCCTGCAGGCAGAGGCAGGTCATAGGGCACAGTCTGGGGATGAAAAAATATACCTGTGTCAATACAGAGTCAAGTTGTCTAGGTGAGAAGCAAAAGTTGTTGCTAAAGTTCAGTCACTTTTTTTGTGGGGATTGGGGGGTGACCACACCTGGCTCTGTGCTCAGGAATTGGTCCTCAGAAATCGGTCCTGGGTAAATAGGGAGAATAATAAAAATATCTACTGTTGTTGGTGTGGGTGGTAGCAGGGGAGGATACCCAGGTGTTAGGGAATGGGGCCCTGCAGTGCCAAGGCTGGGACCCTGGGCCTCACCTATGCAATGTGCTCAACCACTGAGTCAGAGCTCCTGCCCCTAGTATCCCATGTCCCATAGGTAGTGATGGGGCTCAGTGAGACCAGCCATGAAGGAGCACTCTGTTAGCACAGGGTCTGTACGCAGCCTTTATTGACCATAACTCAAATTCCCCTGTTACTATGACATTAACTCCACATCTATAAAACTGCTTTATCTTTTGTCTTTAGAGTGTGCATTGGTTTCTTTTTGTTTGATTTTGGGTTTACCGGTGGCTCTGCACTCAGGAATCATTCCTGGTGGGGCTCAGGGGATCCTATGAGATGACAGGGGTGGAACCAGGTTTGACGACATGCAAGACAAGCGCCCTACCCACTGTACCATTTCTCCAACTCCTGCATTAGTTTCTTTTTAATATATATATATATATATATATATATATATATATATCCACTAGCACTTTTGTCTAGGGGACTAAAACACATTGCAGCTAGTCATTGGAGTGTGGAGTGTGACTCAGAGCAGAATTTAAGGCCGCAGTTTCCCTGAGGCCAGAAGCAGGTGGGCGTCAAGAACTGACCCTCAGGCAGAGCCCTGTGGTGGGGTGGCAATGTGCGCCAGAAGCATGCTGCATCCTGTACTAGCTTTGTCCTGGCCAGAAACGAGAACAGGAAATGCCTAGTTCATCTTACCAGCGGCCCAGCTGGGGTTCCATAGGGACCGGCAGCAGGGTAAGCACCAGGAGCGCCGGGTTGTCCAGGAGCACTGGGCTGTCCAGAAGGAGGGTAGGCCCCTGGCCCGCCCGGCTGCCCAGGGTAGGCACCTGGTGTATTTGATCCAGGGTAAGCAGGTGCTGTTGCTCCAGGGTAGGCCCCAGGGGGTGCCTGTCCAGGATAGGCTCCAGGGGGTGCCTGTCCAGGGTAAGCCCCAGGGGGTGCCTGTCCAGGATAGGCCCCAGGGGGTGCCTGTCCAGGGTAGGCCCCAGGGGGTGCCTGTCCAGGGTAGGCCCCAGGATAGGCAGTTCCACCAGGCTGGTTTCCCCAGGCACCAGGCCATCCTTGAGGGTTTGGGTTTCCAGACCCAGAAACAGCATCATTAAGCTGGAAAGAAAGAAGAACAATTACAAGATGAAAAACAGATGTACCGAATCTCCAAAGAAAACAGGAGCCTGTGATCTGAGAGGCAGAATGGCCTGGTACAATTCATGTTTAGGAAATTCATGTTCACACCAAATTCCCCCTATTCACTTCCAAAAACTAAAGTGAGACTTCAATTGCGATGATGTAGGTGTGATCACTTTATTCTTGCCTCCCATCATCTCAGAGCATGGAAGGATGCCTTTTTGTCTAAGGTTGGCCTCAGGTGCCAGCTATCATGATAGAGAAGCATGTGCCTCAGGAGAGGCATGGAAAAATCAAAACTAGAGCCTTGTGTGATAGTGGGGCTCCAGGAATTTCTCAGTCACACCAACCAGCTTTGCACCTAGGCCACTGTGGGTCCATCTCAGGCTTCTCTGTCCAGCTCTTGCAGAGTCTAATGGGAAAAATAGGACTCCAGCTCAGGAGCTCTTCTCATGTGGGTGAGGCCAGAGGAAGGCAGGGATGGGAGATAGTTGGGACAGTGTGGGGCTCAAAACAAAATCTCTGCCTCTGAGGAAGAGGGTACCAATGGCCAAAAACAGCCCTCAAACACTTACCGAAAAACTGTCCGCCATTTTTCTAAAAGAAAAAAATAAAAAAGAAAGGTTATTTTCTTGATCCTGAAGGACTGTGCTGATTACTATAAATAGGTCACAGTGAAGACCAGTGTCTCTCAGTCATTTCCCCTCTGTGCCCCCGTCTGACCTTCTTCCTTTGTGGCATCCTAGTCTGCTCGTTGGCCCCGAGTCTTGTGCCATAGTCCCACATTTACACACTTTCACCTGTGGCCCCCTGGACTATCCCGGTTGAGAAACACTGGGATGGTGTTGACAGGTGTGACTTTCAATCCACACAAGCCCATTTACTGGGAAATGCACCTGGAGCATCAGTGTGGAACCACAGACAAGTTTCATCAAAGGGCAGGGTGTGGGTACCTAGAACCCCAAATCTGTTTAATATTTAGCTTTTAAACTCTAATCACACTGGTCTCTGTTCTGAATCCTAGGCACAGCATCCATGACATACAGGGTAGGGAAGAGAACAAGGAAGAAAATGTTCTGCCTTTTGACTAGGTTTTTTTTTTTTTTAAATGTAAACAGAAAGACCAGAGCAATAGCACAGCAGACTTTGCACATGCTTTGCATGCAGAGGGCCTGGTTTTGATCCCCGGAAACACTGGTCCCCAAGTACTGCAGGGTATAGCCATGGAACTCCCTGAAACCATGTAAAGTACAGGCTTGATGGTGCAACACAATCAAATGTGCAACCCCATCATCACAGCAGCAAAGTGTAGGAATGATGTGTGTGTGTGTGTGTGCACGCGCGCGCACACGCACGCACGCCCATATACAGACACAGGTCCTCCATTCACCATTCCTCCTGTATTCCCTTTTTTTTTTTTTTGGTTTGTTTTGGGGGGCCACACCCGGAAGTGCTCAGGGCTTCCTTTTGGCTCTGCACTCAGGGATCACTACCAGTGGTCCTTGGGGGACCCTAAGGGATGCCGGGGATTAAACCCAGATCAGCCATGTGTAAGACAAACTCTTTACCCACCGCGTTAAGTCTCTAGCCTCCCTGTATTCCTTTTATACTATGGCCCTACTCTCTTCTTTTCCTACTGAGAGCTCACACTCTCAGCTGGGTTTTAGAAGGAAACCAGTGCTGGTGGCCTACAGCTGAGCCATTAGAGACACTGCCCCAGACATAGTTACTGACAATGTTTACTCCTGCACTGACACTGCTTTGCCTGGCTGGGAGTGAAGACTGACAGGCTGAGACCTTATAGCCAAAAGACTCATGAGGTGGCAGGGATCCCACGTGATCCCGCATGCATGATGTTATAAACCCTACTGTGTGTCATAGAAAGTCACACCTGGGAGGCTGCCATCATGAGGAAAGAGACAGGTCAGTTAGACAAAGTCTCCAAGATGAGTAGCTTTGGATGTGGAACAACAGAAAAAGACATGTATAAGATACTTGTTTTTTGGGGGGGAGGGGGAAGATGCCTGCTATGACAAATAAATTCTTCAGTAGAATAATAAAAGTTTATCTATTTCATAGGATGCTACCAAAGGTTTTGTCTTACTTCATGCAGCCTTAATGAGAGGCCTCCCCTCTCCTCACGTCTGGCCAGAAGGAAGAACTCTGAACCTCTCAGGCCTGCGGTGTCTTCTCTCAGCTCAGGAGCTCAGTGATGTGGCCAAATTACCTGCACCCTAATTGGAATCTCCCCTACACCCTAACTGGAATATCCTTTTCCTTGATTTTCCCTTTGTGAGGGATTCTCAATTAAAAATTGACATTGCCTCAAGGGATACAAGAAACCAACTACTTGATAGGCCCTGAAAATGTAAGCATCAAATTGTTTGGATGTCTTTTCCCTCATAATGGCAGCCTCCCAGGTGTGACTTTCTATGACACACAGTACGATTTATAACATCATGCATGCGGGATGGTTTGAGATCTCCTAGTTTGAGATCCAGGATAATCCTGGTTTGAGATCCAGGACTTAATCCAGCCTCATATTCATATTCTCTCTCTCTCTCTCTCTCTCTCTCTCTCTCTCTCTCTCTCTCTCTCTCTCTCCTCTCCCTCTCTCTCTCTCTCTCTCTCTGCACATTTCTTTTCTGTGTTTTGTTTTTGAGCCATACCACCCGGCTGTGCTCAGGTCTTATTCCTTGTCTTGTGCTAAGGGATCACTCCTGGCAGGTCTCAAGGAACCATACATGGTGCCAGGAACTGAACCTGGGTTAGCTGTGTGCAAAGCAAGTGCCCTGAGATAGTACGTGCTGTACTATCTCTCTGCCTGTGTTTGTTTTTCCTGAGCCATATCCAGTGTGCTGAGGGGCTACTCTTGGCTCTTTGCTTAGTCATGGCCCTCAGCAGTCCTTGGAGGCTGGGGTGGAGCCCAGGCCCAGACCTTCATGCAAAGCTTGTGATCAGCCTGTTGAGCTAATTCTCCCCTTCTGCACTTTACTTCTTTAACCTGGTCGTTATCGGGTTCTTTGGACAAGGTTATGCTGATTGGTTATGCTGCTGCTTATCTGCCACCACAGGAAGCTGCTGGCAATAAGCCGGAAAATGCTCCCTTGTGGTCCAACAGGGATGACACACACTGTGTGGTTTTCTGTTTGCTCCGTTAGTTTTGTGGCATGCCCAGTGCTCTTTAGGGCATACTCCTGGATTAACACTCAGGGATCACCTGGTGGGGCTCAGGGACTGTATGAGGTGCTGGGGATTGAAACCAGGTCAGCCGCAAGCAAGCCAAGTGCATGTAGTAGTGTCCACTGTACTATTGCTCCTGCCTGCTGTACCATCACACTTATTATATAGGATGACCCTCTGAGGCAAAAGCTAAATCTTGCTTGCATCTCCTTCCCTGAAAGACTGTCACCACCCAGAAAACGGTATTACAAGAGGAAGAAGAGACTGGAAAGGGAAAAACATAGAGCTTTAATTCAAGAAAAGAAAGCTTCTCATTTTCAATGCCAGTAGGAAAGACTTTTGAACAACCCACAGGTTATCAAGCTCAGATGGTTCTTCCACAGCTTCTTCTTCCACAACCATCCTACACATCCAATGATCACCAGGTAGGTGTGGCACTTCTTAAGCTATCCCTACTCCATAGGAGCTTATTCCCAGCCTCAGTACCACTTCAAGTTAGGGGGGGATACTCCCCATCGGAGTACGCTGCGGTGTTTAGCAGCATGACCCACTTTAGAAGACAACACCAGCAGCAGAACCTACCCTCTCCCCATTACGCCAACTAAAAAAAAAAGTCCAATGCCAAACACCTCCATCTTCACCGTGCCTTGAGATGAAGAAAGGACAAAAGCACTCCTGGTTTGAGATCCAGGATAATTAGCATGCATTTCCCTATATGAAAGTATTGATAAATTAATAAAACAAAGTAGTTTCAATTATGAAACTAAAATCTGTACAACTGCCTCATTAACATAGCCCAAATTGAAATGTTTAAAAGCTAATTACAGGGCTAGAGAGATAGTATTGATGGTAAGGTGCTTGTCTTGCATGCAGCTGACCTCAGTTAAATCCCTGACAACCCATATGGTTCCCAGAGGACTCCTAAGCGCAGAGCCAAGAATTAAGTCCTGATCACTGCAGGATATGGCCAAAAAAAGCAATAAACAATAAAGGCTAATTATATGCAGAGACTCAGAGAAAGGGGACACATCCTAATGTAATATTGGTTCTTTCCAAAGTCACTGTGCAAAGTATATTTAATTTACTTTTTAATTCAATCCAACCACCCTACAGACAAAAAAGAACTTTTACTTTTTTCCCGGTTTGCTTTATGTGACACCTCAGGTGACAGTTTAGATTGTGTTGTGACACATGATACAAGTTCATTAGATTAATGACGCTCTGCACAGGGTGGTGCTTGTCAACTTACAAAGTAGTTACACATCTCTGTTTGGATTCTGAGCATAATCTTATAGATTGAAGAGGAAATTCATATTCCCCATTTTAGAGGTGAGGAGCTGAAGCTCAGAGAGCTAAGTGGTTTGATGGCCCAAAGTTATTCCACCATTGGCAGGCCAACAGCCAGGGTCCAAGTGTCCTGGCTTATTCAACACTAATACAAAACTTCACACTCTGACATTTTAAATTATACTCCTCTGAAAGCATTGTTTCACTTAGAAATTAATTCTCCAGCTTACTCATTAGGAACTACATAACATGCTGAAATTGCAAACAATTTTTTTTTCAAAGATCATGTTTTTGTCAGAAAACTAGCTGGGTGACTCAGTGGCCAACAATATTGAATACAAGAATGCCATTGTGCATAGTCACTTTGCTAATTATAACCACATTTAAGCCAATAAAGTGTACTTTTCTAAAAATTGTGTATGTACTGTTCTTATTATGCCAACTTCTTGCCATCAATTTTTTTTTGTAAAGAATCATAACCAATGTTTGTTTTCTTGGTTGTTGTTTCAACCAAGACTTGCAAACCTAGAACTTAAAAAAAAGAAAAGCCCACCTCTATTTGGACAAATATTTTCTTTTTCTTTATTTGCCTAGAAATTTTGAAAAGCCAGCAAAGATGTGCTGCATACAGGTAACAAGAGAGATAAGAAAGAGATGGAAAATGAAAATGAGACAGAGAGACACTACCAGATTGCCCTGGGTTTCCACATCTTAAACAAAAAACAAAGACGTATAGGAAGCAGTTCAGTGTCACTCTAGGACAGGGAACATGACTCAGATTACTTCCATTGGCTGTTAACCGGCAGCTCTCCCACTAATAGAGTGACCATCCACAAAGTTCCACCTCGTCATTAACTCAGTTGCCCAGGTCACCAGCAGCATTTCTGAAGTTTCTGCTTACAAAGGGCCCGACCTTTATATAAGCTGGAAGGGAAGTGGCTAATGAATGGATTTCCTCAGAACCCCAGTGCACTGCCCACCTTCTCTCCAAAAGCCTGAAGAACTTCCTGCCCTTATTGAAGCACAGAGCAGGGCTTGAGGAAAGCTGGCTGCAAAGTCAAATTCAGTGAGATGATGAGCAGGAAAAAGGGAACAGTTCCCTCCTAAGATGCTATGCTGAAATAAGGGAACAGGTCCTTCTTAAGTTTGCTTTCTGGCTCTCTTACTATAGCTCCCTAGCTTCTAGAAGGTAACATTTCTTTCTGTCTTGCAGTTGCTGGATTTTTTTTCCCCTGTGGAAAAGTTGATCCAGTTAAGAGAGAACATATGATACTTAGTTAAGAGTAAGCTGGGATACAGCAAGGACTGCCCTGACAGGCTTCCTACTCAGAATTTAATGAGAGTGGGCTAGGCACCAGATGCCAAATGCCACCCTGTATCCTGTGTCCCAAGGATCACAGGAAAAGAGAAGTGGGTTTTCACATCAAGTTACCCTAAGTCTCAACTTTACAAGCCAATTAGTATTTAAGGTCAAAGGAAGATTCTTCAGTTATACTATATTGGTCTCTGAGGCAGTTAAGCTTTGGAGTCCAGCTAATGAGGGATCTAAGCAAATGGCTGCCTAATTTATAGGTGAGACCAACATTAGCTTCCCAACCTGTTAGCAATAAATAAAAGGTCCTTCAATGTAGCAGAGAGAAATAGCACTTATGAAGGAGACTTCAACAGAGCAAGATGTGCCTGTTCTAATGAAAATGAGATGGGCGTGGGGGGCAAACAAATCAGGTACTTCCTTTCTTCTGCTATTATATAACCTGTGAAGCAACCTTCTTTCCCTTCAAAGCTGAGAACATTCAACAACCCTCATCAAACATCTCCCCAGAAAATGGAGTAAGTGCTGATACTGAATGGGACCCTCGGACACCAAGCTTTTAGCAAGCAGCTCCAATACCCCCAAAGTCCAGGATAAGGCACCTCCATCAAGAGAATCAAAGTCCTTGCTGTTAAGAATTCAAAGTCAGGGGCTGGAGCGATAGCACATCGGGTCGGGCGTTTGCCTTGCCTCAGTTTGCGGCTGACCTGGGTTCGATTTCCAGCATCCCATATGGTCCCCCGAGCACCGCCAGGAGGAATTCCTGAATGCAGAGCCAGGAGTAACCCCTGTGCACTGCCGGGTGTGACCCAAAAAGCAACAACAAAAAAACAAACCAAAAAAAAAGAATTCAAAGTCAGTATCTGAAGAGAAGATACATGCAAAATAATACAATTTATTATGAAACTTTAACTTTCAGAAACACAATTCTAGGTATGAAACTTGATATGTGTTTTTTGTTTGGGGCCACACCACGGGCAAGTGCTCTGGGCTTACCTAACTGTGCTCAAGAATCACTCCTGGCCAGCACTGAGGACCATATAGGGCTTTACCCTCTGAACTGTCTCTTCTGCCAGATGCTTATCACTCTCTTTCAAGTGAATTGAGTCAATCATCCAGAATTTTTCCTGCATCCTAGAAAAACACTCGGAACAAACAAGTTCCAAGTATCACCGTCCCTTTAGCCATTGTCGGCACACATATCCAGCGTCCAAAACAGAAATGGTTCACTTCCAGGGGCTAAATCCACAGTCTCCTCCTTATATTTCGGAGGCCCCTGGCAGTCTGAGCTAAGCTCCCTAACCTCTGAGTGGACCGCTTGGGAAAGAGTTTATTGTAAGCAGCTGATAATTCATAATAAAACTTCAAGCCTGTTTGGAGGGTGGCCCAGCCCTCCGGCTAGGGCTGGGCATACATACTACCTACTTTCGGCCGCACCCCACCAGCCTCCTCCGCACACATCTGACATGCCTAAGGCCCGGGTTAGCCAATTTGGGCAGGGATGAGTCAGTCCTTTGCAAACGCTCCGGATTTGCGGTTTTTTTGCCCAGCCAGGCACATGCCTACTCAGGCCTTGGGGCTGGCAGCCCCCCTGCTTGTAGGATCAGCACCCAGAGGTGCGGCTGTTTTGGGGGCTCATTTCCCTCCAGTACCTGCTCCCGGGGGTCCTGGGCCTCGGGCCCACAGAAACCGCCCTTCGAGGGCACTTCCCTTAAATTCCCCCTATTCCTCTCTAACCCTCAGCTCTGCCGCGGGGCGGGGGGGTGGTTAGGGACAGGAACGTGCGCCCCACCACCAAGCAAGAGCAGACCCGGGGTTTAGAAGAGCGTCCATTTCCCGCCGTCTGTGGACCTGCCCGATGGGGGTCGGGGGGGGGGGGACGCGGCACTCAGGTGGCTGCGCCTCCCCTCTCCTTCTCCATAGCCGTCGAAGACGCACACAAAACCCCGAATTCCGCGGGCCTGATGTTGTTGTCCCGCATCCTCTGAACTAGGGGGTGTCGAAGAGTCAAAGGCAGAGGGGTCTATACCGAGACGGTGCGGACAGCGCCGCATTCACTTCGGGGCGTGGGGAGCGCCCTCGGTGCTCGCGAGCCCCCAGTGCCCGGGCCCCACTTGTGCTCCCCAAAATAGCCGCGCGCCGCCCGCAGCACCCGGAGACCTTCGGCCCCCCACGTCCAGCCACCCCGCGCCCGCGCTCTTCACCTGGGTGCTAGGTTGCTGCTCGCTCGTTCCGGAGAGGCTCCTGGCGAGGTGCGGCGGTGCCTGCGGGGCGGCTGCTCGACGCCTCAAATATCCGCTGCCCGACCCGCCTCTCCCGGGGCGGGGCCGCCCCAGTCCACACCCAGGCCGCACCCCGGACCGCGGGCTGGGGGAGCCTGGACATCCCCCTGAGACTGCGGGCGCCCGAATCCGGGGGGGCACAAGCGATGATCGGCAAAGCGAGGGCTGGGAGCCGGCAGGGCACCCCCGTCCCCACCGCCTCTAGGAGTGGGGGTCCGAGGACAGCCGCCGCAGCACTGGGGAGTGGCCATGGTCACCGTCCTCTCCCAGTCTCAACGAGGTGCGGCGGCGCAGCGCGGGCTGCTTCCTGGAGGTTTTGCTATTTGGTTTAGTTTGAGGATGACACCGGACCGGTGCTCAGGGCTTAGTCCTGGTCTGCGCGCAGGGGTCACTCCTGGTGGACTCTGGGCACCATAGGGGATGTCGGGGATCGAACCCCGCCCTGTCGGCCTCGTGCAAGGCAAGTGCCCTTCCCTCTGTATTCTCTCTTGGGCTTGCGCTCGTGGAGTTTCTGAGGGTCCCGCGAGCCTCGGGGTTGCGCTCCCACCCGCTGCAGCTGCGCCTTGGGACACCGTCTCTAACAGCCTTCCCTGAGGGCACCGAGTCCCTGAGAGCACCTGGTTGGCTCTCGATGGGGCTGAGGGCTTGCGCCCACGTCCTTGACCCCCCTGCGCCAAGATGTGGGACCCGCTGCTCCTGAGACCCTAAGTTCCTTAGCACCTGTACGTGTTCAGTAAATGCTTACCGAGTGAATAAAACTCACTCTGGAATATTAATCAGCCAGAAAAGAAAAATGAAAAGAAAAGAAAATCCTGCTACTGAGAACAAGTCTTTTAGTAGCAAGTCTTGTCTTCTCCAAGATTGGACCGACTCCTGATGAAGGGAGCTGTTTGATACAGAAGTTCCTTTGGCAAAGGCACGAAAGGACTAGAATAGACTCGAAGAAAGGCTGTGCAACAAGTAAAGCTGCTTCCCAGAAAGATGGCCATGTTTCGTCGTATTTATCTAGGTAATCCCTGGGTAAAATGGTCAAGGATGGTTTTTCTTTAAACTCAAATAAGCACTAGCAAAAACTCGAGAGGCAGAGAGATTGTACAGCGGGTAGGGCACTACCCTACTGGAAGTGCGTTGAAAAAAATCAAAATTGATTAACGACATAAGTTTAAGACCTGAACTTTATGTAAAGCTTCTAGAAGAAAATGCCCTGGGAAAGATTATTTAACACTTAAAAAAATCATGTTATTTTTTAAATTGATTTTTATTTTATTTTTTTTAAAAATTGTGATTTACAAAGTTGTCCATTATACAGTTTCAAGCATTTCGTGTTTTGGCAGCAGTTTTTTTTTTTTTTTGGAACTGACATCAAAGCACTAGAAGTGAAAGCAAAAATAATCATGTAATCATCAAGCTAAAAGCAACCAACAAAATGAGAAGGTAAAATTTATGAAAACATTTGCGAACTATGTTTCTGATAAGGGTTAGTCTCCAAAACATGTAAGAAATTTATAGCACTTGAGCTGAAGCAATAGTACAGCAGGTAGGGCACTTGCCTTGCATGCAGCCAACCCAGGTTCAATCCCTGGCACCAAAGATGGTCTTCAAAGCACTGCCAGGAGTTGTATCCAGAGTCCTTCTGGGTGTGGCCCCCAAACAAAAACAAAATCTTAAGTGGACAAAGGACTTGAATAGACTTTTTTTCCCCAAAGAAGAAATACATGGCCAGTAGGTAAACAAAGGGTTCTCAACATCACTAATTATTAGGACAATGCAAATTAAAGCTTTAATGAGTTATTATCTCATGACTATTAGAAAGACTGTTACCAAAAGACAAAGGTTAAATGCTGAGGAGGATGTGGGGAAAATGGAAACTGCACACTGTGAGAATGTTTCTTGGTGCGGCCACTAAGGAAACCCGTATGGAAGTTTCTCAAGAAATGATAAAGAGAACGAGCATATGATCCTGCGACCCTAATCTGGGTCCATATCCAAAGCAAATGGCATCACCAAGCATGAGGAAGTTCTGCCACCCCCGTGTTCATCGCAGCAGTGAAGTATTGACAATAGGCAGGGCATAAGGGTCTGTTGACAGATGAAGAATGAAGAAGATATTACATAAGCACACTCACTCTGGAATATTAATCAGCCAGAAAAGAAAAAAAAAGAAAAGCCTGTGTTTTGTGACAACATGGGTAGACCTTGAGGGTATTATGCAGAGTGAAATGTCAGAGAAAGACAAACGCCACATGATCTCATTTCATGGTAACCCCTAAAAAGCAGAACCAATAGAAACAAAATGGGATGTTGTTTGAAGGTGGGGTGATGGTGGAGGTGGGGGGGTGGGGAAAATGTAGAGCTGTTGACCAAAGGGGTACAAAAAAGTTACAGGATGAATCAGTTTAGGAATCTAAAGTACAGCCTGAATTCACAACAAGGTGTTGTATACTTGAAAGTTGCTAGGAGAGTAAGTTCTAAATTTTCTTACCACAATGTTTCTCTCACCACAAATTAAAAAAAAAATCATGTGAGGCAATGCTTATGTGAAGTAACCTTAGTGCACAGTCATTTTACTCTGGATTGGGCTTTTTTTTTGTGTGTGAAAGTTTTGAGAGAAGTTGTTCTGAGACTCAAATAACAAGATGTAGTTGGGAAGTGCAACGCACTTGTTTTTCCTGTTCTGTACACACCCGTTGGATTTCCAGAGCAGACTCCTGATGGGACAGACCTGAGCCTTCTCATTGGGGGGAATCACAAGTAACAGCCCTGGGAGTTCCCTCAGGGGACTCCTGGACATTCCCAAGAACCTGAAAACACTCCCATAGTCTGGGGTTCCTGCACTGGTTTACAGCGCTGACCACAAGGGGTCCATTAGGTCTCGTGGAGCAGAAAGACACTGCAGAAGTGTCTTGTTCTTGCAAGAGCCTGAGTCTACAGGCTGGCTCATAACCTCAGTGAGATGAAGGAAGTCTGGCCATTGGTATTCAGGCTGTAACTTAGTGAGACCGTTATACGTGGTGACTGAGTTTGCTCCCCAACCCCACACAGAAAATGCATGTGAGGGATTATACTACCATCTCTGATGTAATGTGAGTGAAAGATGAAAATTGGCAAAAGGTTCAAGTTACTTTTTATATAAAAATTTATATATATTTTAACCACGTAGGCCTTTATCTAAATCTATCACTTGATCACTTGACTTCCTGTTAATAGATTTGCTCGAGCGGTTGCCAGTAGCGTCTCCATTTGTCCCTGTTGCGTGCTAGTGTAGCCCAATGGCGTCTGTTCGTTCTAGGAACACGAAGAGCCTCAAACCGATCATTCAGGATCTTGATGAAGAAGTCTGACCATCTGGTAGGCGGCGGCCACACAGTCTTTTGACGTCCCGTGAAATCCAGTCAATAATGGCTCTAGTCCAGCGATCGTCTCCAAATCTCATTACATGTCCCACTGCCTCTGTGGCAGGGCATTTCCTTTTGTTCTCTCTCTCTTATTGGGTGTTGTGGTTTGCAAAAGAGGCAATGGGTGACAATCATGTTGGTCTATAGTCTACTTTCAGCATGCTTCTCCCATCCTGAGAAATTGAGCTCCCATTTGACCCAACAATACCACCCCTGGGAATATATTCCAGAGAGGCAAAAAAGTATAGTCGAAGTGACATCTGCAATTGTTTTTTCATTGCAGCACTCTTTACAATAGCCAGAATCTGGAAAAAACCTGAGTGCCCGAGAACAGATGACTGGTTAAAGAAACTTTGGCACATTTACACAATGGAGTACTATGTAGTGGTTAGAAAAGAAGAAGTCATGAAATTTACATACAAGTGGTACTACATGGAAAGTATCATGTTAAGCGAAATGAGTCAGAAAGAGAGGACAGACATAGAAAGATTGCATTCATCTGGGGAACACAAAGTAACGAAATAGGAGACTAACACCCAAGAATGGTTAATATTAGTACCAGGAATTTTACTCCATCTGATTTTTGATGCCTTGGCAAATGAGACAGCGTCCCTGATTCTTGATCGTCGATGGAGGTCTGAACTCCGGATTTTTTCTTTCATTTGAGTGAAGCATGATACTCTTTTGATTTCTCTTTGGGAGACCCAAATAGCGTTCTCATCGTGTTTTTGTAGGGTCCAGGTCTCTGAGGCGTATATCTATAGCTTTAAAAAATAAATTTAAAAGTCTATGCTTCCCAGTGGGCTGCAAAATGTTCTATGAACTTCAAGGTTAGATAAGGTGACTTAAATTAGAACCACGTGAATGTCTGTGATGTCAGAGGACAAACAATATGTGACAAAGCTATATATTACTTAGGAAATCAAAGAAAGGGGACTAGAGAGATACTATATTATTATTATTATATTATTATTACCCAAGTGGGTAAGGTGCTTGTCTTACAAGTGGCTAACCACAGTTTAATCCCTGTCACTGCATATAGTCTCCTGAACACTGCCAGGAGTGACCCTGAGCATAAAGTCATGAGTAAGTCCTGAGCACCTCAGGTGCAGCCCCAAGAGTAAAACAAACACATAAAAGCCTAAGGAAGGAACACTGTCCTCCCGTTGTTCATCGATTTGCTCAAGCAGACCCAGTAACATCTCCATTTTGAGATTTGTTGTTTACTGTATTTGGCATATTGAAAGAAGGAAACAAATGCAAAAATATGGAGGTTAACTCCAACCATTCCCCCTGTGAGGCCCAAAAGCAGGCTCCCCAGAAGCCATGACAAGCTGCAGCTAACATTAAGTCTCAACCAGGCCTCAGTTTCTATTTCCCCAGAGCAGGACTGCAGTTTTTGGTAAACTCCCAGTTGAACAATTCACCTAGATAAGCAACTGGGCAGTTGGATCTGGCCAGTCATGAGGGGTCACTGTACTCCTCTTGGAAAGAACCTCGAACTGTTACTGGTACCTGCCATCTAATTGCTGACCACTCTGTAATAGAGCTATACTAAAAATAAATCAG